GTATGTACCGTCAAAGTGAGGAAAACCCAACGAAATCTCGCGTGCTGGTCGCGCAGAGTTATACAATTGCATTACTAGCGGTGAGTTGGTTGAGTTCGAAGCATCAATGTGCGGAGTTGGACCTTGATTGAGCATATCCAACGATTTCTGCATCTGATCGATTCGGTCATTGTTAGCGGTTTGAAATTGAATGATCAATTCACGATTTGCCTTATCCCTTTCCGGTTGTTTCTCAATCCAGCTCAAAATCGAAGTAAGTTGGGCTTGCATATCTTTCATCCTTGTGTTCTCTGCCATTGATGTCGATGAAAGCACCAATGTAACACGTAAAATTCAATGTAACAGTAAAATATCAATTGAAACAGAGACAACCAATGGAGCAGCGAGTTGGACTTGTATTGAGTTTGGTTTACAAGAATTAGAAATGGAAATCATAACAAGCTAAAAAGTAGAATTCCAAACGTCCCATGCAGCCATGCAGGTACCTGAGATAAGTAACAGAATTTGTTTAAGAAACAGAGAGAGAGAATGGGAATAGAAGGAGCAGAATCAGTTAGCAGAAAAGATTGCATACCAGTCACGTGCCTCTCTCATTGAATGAATTCCTTTAAATACACACTTTCCTTTCGTTCACGTGTGCTTCTCCTTAATGCCTTATCATGCGGATCTATTTCCACTTGGCCCCTTCCTTCCACTGTATTTTCTGTTTTTTTTTTTTTTTTGTAGCAATCAGCCTTATTATCCTAAAGTTGACATTTAGGGGAGTAGATTCATCCAATTGAAGTGTTAGAACCCCAACTTTTAGAATCCAAATTTTTGGGATTTGAGCTAACTCATTCTGTCCCAAATGCATAACCAACTAAAACTACATATACAGCAGAGAAAACTACAGTAGCAAATACAGAGTCAACCAAGACTGCACCTGAAAGAAAAAAAGTAGAGTCTAACACAACTCAAAGGCAAAGTCATAAATCAAACCAAAATCCATAAAATGAGTTTTTTAATGGGAGTATAAAAACAAATGAGAGAATTGTAAGTTCATAAAATAAAACATGAATATAATAAGATAATACATGGTAAGATTAAATTTTTCAATTCCTTGTTGAAGAATATTTATAACTGTTTTTAATTTAGTTTTTTAAATTTTAAAAACAATTTTGAAAAAATAATTTAAAAAATATTTAATAATCCTGCTTTTAAAAATTGATTTTAAAAGAATAACATAAATGATAATAAAAAATTGTGATAAAAAATAATTTTAATAATTTTATATTGATAAAATTGAGTGATATAAGATAATTATTTGTGAAAATTATTAATATCTATAGATGAAAACAATTTTTTTATTAGTTTTAATTTTAAAAAATTTAAATAAAAATATTTTAATAAAATAATAATTCAACAAGTTTTAAAATAAAAATAAATAAATAAATAAGTAGTCGATGAAATTTATTTCAAAGTGTTAATATCACTTCAAGCATCTTTTGGTAAGCTTTTAATTCTCCGTAACCTGTTTGTCTTTAGTACCTTGTTTTCTATAAGGAAAAAACTAACTCTAAAAATTAGACATAGCAAGCATATCCTCCAAAAAAACATTGGATTTTTTATTGAAATGAAATGATGAATATAGAAATGAAATGAAATAGTAGTCTATCGTGTACAAAAAAAAAAAAAAAAATAAAGATAAAAAAAAGAATACTAACATCAGAAAATACCTGTTCCAGGCATTGCAGTCAAAACAGAACAAAGAAAACAAAAATAGAGATATACTAATAAACAAAAATTATATTTTATATAATAATCATAAATACAAACAAATTTACCCACTAAATAACAATAATATTTTATAACATTCATTATAATATTTATTGAAAAAAATTATTTTATATTTTTAAAAGTATAAACTATTTTATATTTCTTATTTATATTATCATATAAAATACATTTTTTATAACTATTTTTAATGTTATTACATATAAGATTATATTTTTTAATTTATAATATTTTTTAAAGGAATTTAATTTTTTTATAAAGTATTATTTGTTATGAAATTATATTATCATTATTAAATATGTTGATTTAAATACTAAATTAGAGATATAGTATAATATCTTTGAAGAGGGAAAAAGGCGTGTGAGAGACGTGAGAAGTAATAAAATCGTATTATATATAATATAAAAATTAAATTTTCATTTTATTATTATAAAAAAATTATAACTAAATATAATAGAGATTTTTTTTCAACCGTAAGAAGAAAAATAACAATATTAATTAAAAAAATATTATGATTTATAAATTTTAAAATTAGTAAAATATATGATACTTAATTAGTGAATAACAAAATAAGTATGTTTAGAAGAAAAAAAATATAATTTTTTCTAATATAAATAAAAAATTACACACAAAGTATTAACTTTTTGTTTTTATTTATACAAATATTTGTTTTAAAAAATTAGTCATATGGAAAATAAATATAGAAATTTATATTTCCACTAATTTAAAATATTTTAATGATTTTTTTTAATTAATTTGTAAAGATAAAAAAATTAAAGATGTGAATCTAAACTTTAATTGCTGTTAATCTACATGTCAATCATACTTTATGGTTCTTTATGAACAAAACATTTAACAAAATGTCAATATACAGACACTATCAAATAAAACACAACTCTTTATTAAATATTAAAATAGAAAAATATTACAAAACTCATAAAAATTTGCAAATTTAATATGAACTAAAATGTTATTTAATTTAAAAAAATTATTTACACAAATGTGAAACTTCGTCTGAAAATTAAATTTTTAAAAAAATAAAGATATACAAAAATTATATGTTTTTATATTGGGTTCACTTCATTAATAAATTTTGTTTTATTATTTATTTTCTATAATTTTTTTCATTCTTAAATCACATTATTGGAATGATAAGAAACATTATATTGCATTAAATATTAGATTGATATAGGTAAATAACGAAATTAAAATACTTTAATTGTTTACTCATTAACGAAACATGAATTTTATTATATTTAACATAGATATTTATTAATAATTTTTATTTATTTTTTAAAATAAAATTATTATTGAAAAATATTATGATTAAAAAATCATTTAAAATTATAATTTATAAAATCATATTTTTTTATCTAAATTTATGAAAATAAACTAATTTTGAAAAATTAATATATTTAAATTTTATATTTTTTATTATAAATTATTTGAACTAATATTTTTATAAAAATTAATTTTATTTATATTAAATTTTAAAAAATTTATATTTTATAATAAAAAATATTAAAATAGTAAATGTTTTTTTAAGAATACCTAGTAAATAATAAAACAAGTAATCTGTAGATACTATATCCCTATCCGTTCTGTCTAGTTATCATTGATATTTGTTTTTCAGTTTGATTAAGGATGTATGATATATATAATTTTTTTTCGTTAAGTGAAAGGTTAAATCCATGACTGATCATGACATTTCATGGGACCAGGGTGAAGGAATAAATAAGGACATTTTAACACATAGAAAGTAGTGAAGGGTCCTCTATTTTTCTGGGTCCGTCCAATCCGAGCCCATAGGCCGCGACTTTCATGCTTAAATCAAAGTATTGTATTTGTATGTTCATTCCGTGTGTTATATATTTTCGAGAAGGGACTAAATCAGTCATTGATGATCCTTGAGTTATTCTTTTTTATCTTTATATGTAAACTCACAAACAGAAATTATCTTCATATAATATTTAACTCTTTCACAAAGTTAATAGATATATAAAATACTTAAAATATCTTTTTGTAAAAAAATGATTTAGTTACTATGTAACCAAAAATTATATGTAATATAGAAATAAATTTATATATTTTTTACATTTTATTCATAAAGTGTGTGTCTTCATAGTATAATAGGTAATTTGTAATCATATCAACATTTTGTGAAGATCTCACTGCTTGTGTTTTCGTACTTAACTCATCTGAATCCTAAGGAATTCTTAAAGATCTTTAAAATCCAACCAAAATTAGAGAAATTGAGCCTCTTGAGAGGGGTTGCTTCAACATGTGATATATTGAATACATGTTGATTTATCTCATAAAACATTTGCCTTATATTTGTGAAACCATTACATGGTCAAAATCAATCTTTTATATACTTCTTACTACATAATTTTGTTGTACAGCTATCAAAACAATTTTACATTACGGTGCTTTGACTTAGAAAAACAAATAAAATTAGGGTAATGTTTGATTAATTTTTACTTTAAATGATATATACTTTAACCGTAAAAACTAACAATCTTGATAATATAAAAAAGGTTGTTAATAAAACACTAAAAATTGAAAGTTATTTTTTTATACTTTTACTTCATTGTAAATTATTTTAAGAGCATTTTCAATTAAAATTATATATATAGAGAGTGATTACAAGAGTATTTTGATTTTTTTTTGCAATTTCAGCTATATGATTCAGAAAAAAATGAAGTAAAAAAAAGGGTTTGATAAACTATTTTACTAATATAAAATTTCATAACATAAAATAATTCTTCAACCACTTGTTTCTGTTTAATTTGTATACATATACAATATATATATATATATATATATATATATATATATTACATTTAAATAAATTTAATAATCTTAAAAATATTAATTTCCAACAAATATATTTACATATCAATAATTATGACTATAATATTTTAAACACAATTGAAATGTAATTTTAAAATTAATTGTCCTAAAAATAAATTAATATTATTAATAGTCACTTATTGTTGATGTTTTATCTATTAAAATGAGAATGAAAAAGGAGACTTTTAATGTTATAGGTAGAAGCAGAACAAGGTGCGAACATTTTCATATCATTTCATTGGCAGCAAGCAAAGCAACCGAAATCAAAAGCTAGCCAGCGATCAAAGGAAGAAAACAGAAGACGTCTACGCGACACAATAGTGGAGTGGGTCTTGACACGGTGTGGATTGAAACGGAGTGAAGTGAAGTGAATTATGCTGGCGAGTCCGAGAGCACCACCAACAGTAACTTCCCAGCCTCAGGAGTCATGGGAATCAATGCTCCCAGGCCCACCCAGCCGCAACAACTTTGGATCCGCAGATCTGAGCCCCCACGGCCTCCTCGCATTCCCCTCCGGCAGCGCCATCTCAATCGTCGACATCCGCTCCACGCAGTTACTCTCCTCCTTCCCCATCCCTCCCCCGCCCTCATCCGCAGCCCCCTTCGTCACCGCCCTCCGCTGGTCTCCCCTCCCCCTTAGCCGCCACCTCCTCTCCTCTGAACCCTCCTCCAGCCACCTCCTCCTCGCCGCTGGCGACCGCCAGGGCCGCATTGCGCTCCTCGATTTCCGTCTTAAGTCCGCCATCCTCTGGTTCGATACCGACTCTAAACAAGGAGTCCAAGACCTCTGTTGGGCCCAGGCCCGCCCCGATTCATACCTTCTCGCTGCTATTAACGGACCTTCCACTCTCTCCCTCTACAATGCCTCCACCGGACGCTGCGTTTGGAAATACGATGCGTCTCCCGAGTACTTCTCCTGCGTTCGTCGCGATCCCTTCGATTCGCGCCACATATGCGCCGTCGGACTCCGCGGCTTTCTCCTGTCCATCGTCCTCCTCGGAGACTCCGACGACGCCGTCGTCATCAAGGAGCTTCAGATTCCGACCGATTCAAGCGAATTGGTTAAGCTCGAGAGAGACGCTGCAGCCGGATCATCCGCCTCTGCTGTCTCGTCGCCTGCGGCGGCGGCGTTTCCTAAATACGTCGCGAGGTTGGCGTTCACCCAGCAGTGGAGGCACATTCTGTTCATCACGTTTCCGAGGGAGTTGGTTGTGTTTGACTTGCAGTATGAGACGGTGATTTTTTCCACCGCGTTGCCGCGTGGTTGCGGCAAGTTTCTAGACGTGTTGCCTGATCCGAGTAACGAATGGATCTACTGTGCCCATCTTGATGGCAAGCTCAGCACGTGGAGGAGGAAAACGTAAGCGTTTTTCGTCTTGAACTAGTTAATTTGCCTTTCCTCTGAACTCAGATGAGTACATTTGTTAGTGCACGCACGCATTGGCAAATAGACCCTGTAGTGTAGTTTATGTGTATTGGTGGGTACAAAAGTGTTACTGAAGATGCTTTGGCAATACGTATGTACTAGCGATACCCGTTTGAAATAAAATAGCAAAGCTTGTTTTTGCAAATTTTGTTTGTTGCAAGTGTTAAGAATCCTTAATTCCATGTGTTTGAGATAATTCTACGGAGATACTGCCATTTGGAATGGGATTCTCCTTATTTGAAGCTGTTCCTCTCTGTCCATGAGAACTGAATCACTTTTACCTGAGGTGGTCAAATGACCAAGAGGATTTTATGATAGCTTCCTTTTTGGAATTATAGACCTATTATTTTTCTGCTTATAATTTGCTCTCTTCAAGTTTTCAGATTGGATAGGTCTATTAAGTCATCGTTACAAACAACTGTTTTTAATCTACTTTGATTTAAATGTGTACTTCCTTTTTGGGCTGCTTTGGAAACCATATTGGGTTTGTTCTGCTATAAGAAGTTTTACTCCTAATCACCTTTTTTTTATGACTCTCTGTCTCTCTCTTTTTTTTTTTCTCTTAAGCTATTTTTTAATTTCAAATATAAGCTTTAAAACAGTTTTTATTTTTATTTTTAACTTTACCAAAGTAGTATTATGTTTTATTTTATTGAAACTAAGAGATATACTTTTCTTTTTGTTCACAGTGGGGAACAATCACATTCTATGTACTCATTGGAAGAGTTGATGCCATCAGTCGGTACCGCAGTCCCTTCTCCTTCAGTACTCTCTGTCCTTTTATGCCAATCAGATTCAACACTTGAGAACATTGGAAAAAATTATTCTGATATACCTAGTTCTCCTTACCTTCGAGAGGATTTTGATAATCCTTTTGATTTTTGTTACGAGTCTAATATTGTTTCTAAGATACATTTGATCTCCATTTCTGATGATGGAAAAATTTGGAACTGGCTCTTGACTGCTGAAGATCTTTCAGACACCCAAAAGGATGATAAGAAGCTAGGTTTGGTGAATGATGACCATAAATTATCGCTTCCTGGGCCCAACTCTAACACCTTACCATCTTCTGCTGGTCAACGGGACCTAAATGTAGGCAAGCAGTGGGAGCATTGCAATGATAATAGAAGCCGTCAGAGCTCAATCTTCGACCAGGAAGAAATTTCAATGAAGGTAAGCACGCACTTACAAATTTTCTTTTACTACAGCACATTGGTGATTGGTGGTTCATAACATAAAATGATGTATTGATGTTTCAAAATGTTAGTAATAATACATCAAAAGTATTTTGGATTCTGGACAAAAAGGGGGTCAGCCAAAGTTTTATATTGATTCTTGATATATTCTTATGAAATTTTATAATGATAATTTATCGGTCGTTTAATAGGTCATTTTACTTTATGATAACGTAATGATACACCCACTACAACTTTGAAAGATTGTGGTGGAACAGTTGTGTTTAGACAACATAGAATGCATTTATTTACATTCCTTGTTAGCTTTGAAACGTGTATGGGATAGAAACGTTTTTATGGCTTCCCTTTATTGTTCAGACAATGACTTCTTCAAGGAAACCTTCATATCTGATCTGTGGAGACGGGTTGGAAACCCTGCTTACACTGATGAAAAGTCTTTGTCAGGAGGATAACTTATTTTATCCTACTTTCTGCATACAACTTTCCTGCTCTCTCTCTAATTTTCATCCTGTCTCGGTGGAACTTTGTATATTATAGGTCACCTGCAAGAACAATATCCAGTTGATGACAGAGCTGAATTAGATGGCTGATGGTGTATGATAGAAAATTTAATGCATGAAATACATGTTTTAAAGCATTGGGAATATATGGGAGGCCATATGTAGATTCCAGAACATGCACAAAATTCTTTGGCCATTTTGAATGGTGGTATGTACAAGGAAACTATAAAAATAAACTAATGTACACCCCAATCCTGGTGATTCCTCGAAATGGGAAGGTATAAAGGAAGGTTACACAATATAATATGCTGCCTTATCCTTGCATGTGCAGAAGCTGTTTCTGGATTCGAACCCATGAAAAAATAAAACTAAAGATACTTTGATGATGTTGGATCTGCTACTAAAATGGTACGGGGTGGCTGGAGGTTTTAGGTGGTATATTTTCTTTAAGGAAATTTATTAATCAATGGGGGATAATGTGTGATTGGATATCTCCACCCATCTACCATAGCTTCCCTGATGATATTCTTGAGGTAGTCTAGCAACTGTGTGGAGGAAGAAGCAGTTCTTGTTTTTGAGTTGAATAAGCTTTACTTCTGAAGAAGTACCTTTTATGACTCATTGTCTTTGAACATGAAGTATGTGGCAATGCATTGTTGTGATTTCCTTAGGTTTGAACAGTTGATTCTATTCTACTTAAATATCATTTTAAACATTTGATCAAGCAAATCAATCAAGCATTCATGTTGATGAATCTTAGTTTTCTGAAATCTGGGGGAACAAATCAAGAAAGAAATTCTATTTCTTCAAATATTCCTAGGGCTTACTACATATGGTGTGCAAGATTTCAGGATCAACCTAAAAGCTCAAGATTGAGTTTTCTTTTCAATTGGAGAACTAATGTAAGGACAATTATACACTGATTTTTTACTTTAACTCAAATTTCTTTTCAGGAAATGTTGGGGTCTTGGTAGGTAATTTTAGAGTGACTTACCTCATTATAATTATGGTTAAATTAGGTGTCACAATGGGCTGATAATTGTCAAATAGGCTGATATATCCATATTTACGTATTGTATACATGTAAGAAATAATAAATAAAAAAGTTAAAGTGTAGAACATATTTGTTACGAGCTCTATTAAATTATGTATTAAATATCAAATATTGATACATGTAAGAAACAATAATGCAAGAATATGGCAGGAAAGAAATTTACATTTTTTATAGATGCTTTGTTTTATATAATTATTATGTGGTTTTGAAGTAACTTTTTATGTGGGCTAGCGGCCCAGTTTGTGAAGGGCTGAGTCAAGCTCGACTTGCTAATTGTCAGTGTGCAACTAAATTTTATTGGCTAAGACAGACCATCCAGTTCCTATTTGACAGCTCCTACTGCAAGGGTTAATAAAGTTTACTTTACCTATGACAGAGCTTGCTATGTATAACATATAAAGAAGGAATGCTATGAGTTTATATTTTCAGTTATGAATGCCATTCCTAGGATATCCATGTTTTTTTTGGTTATCTCCAGATTTTCAACCTATTTATTCTAGGCCAGCTGTCCTGGATCAAGTTTGGCTGCCAATGAGAAGGACATTAAACATGATAGGCAATTACAATTTTACAATGAAATCAGTAAGCAATGGTACAATACCTTCTATTTGGCACAGAATTGAAGAGTAATCAATTTGGCACTGATTGGGACATTCGTTAAATAAATCATGGTGCATAACCATTCTTCCCATTGTACTCTGTATTCCATGAAAATAGAGCAGCTATTGAAAGGTGCCAAAGTATATAATATAGGTCAAATTGTAATTAAGTTCCTGTTATCATTTGTCCTGCTTGGAAGTAAACATTCCAACGGATTCTTTTTTGGAGAGGAAGATGGTAGGATCAAATCTTCCTTCGAGTTGTTATTATTTAACTTATGACTTATATTCCATGTAATCTTAATCCTGACTTTGATATGCTGAAAACAGCATCAATGTGCTAGATAACACCTATTTCCATTTCCTGTGTTAGTTTCATATTTTTAAGTTGGCTAATATCTGCAACAGGCTTTACTTTTTTTTGTAATTTTCTAATGTAGATTAGCTTAGTTGGACAGCTTCAGCTTCTTTCCTCAACAGTGACCATGCTGGCAGTACCTACCCCTTCTCTAACAGCCACCCTGGCCCGTTAGTTTATCTTCACACCAATTTGTATATTTGTTTGAAACTTCAAATATAGAGGTTATTATACATATCATGTTTCCTGTGTTGATTAATGAAATACATCATGTGAAGGTGGAGGAAATTATCCAGCAGCTGCTGTTCCCCTGGTTGCTTTGGGAACCCAGAGTGGGACAATAGATGTTGTTGATGTTTCAGCCAATGCTGTATCTTCAAGTTTATCAGTTCATAATGGTACTGTCAGGGGACTACGATGGCTGGGAAATTCCAGGCTGGTTTCATTTTCTTATACTCAGGTATAAATTCAGTACTTATGTACAAACAGATTTTTCTTTATGTTAATTCCCTGAATAGTTTATTTCTTTCTATTGTAGTTCATTTTTCCTTTTTGTAATTATTTACTTATGAGACAAGCTTAATGATTTCAGCTTACTACTTAATGGCTACTTCAATTTAGAATTTCATACATTTCTAAAGAACTTTTTCATCATTGTTCAATTATTATGCACATTCTTTTGGACTCAGGCTAATGAAAAATCTGGAGGATATATTAACAAGCTAGTTGTTACTTGCCTTCGAAGTGGCCTTAACAAGATGTTTCGAGTTATGCAAAAGCCAGAACGTGCACCTATAAGAGCTTTGAGGACATCTTCATCTGGAAGGTTAATCTTGATGCTAAACTTTTGTTATTATTGTTTACTTCATTGTTTAGTTTCTGAATCTTCTTTTGGTTGTATGCTTTTCTATTTCTCTTTCTATATCTTGTAAGCCCTAGTGTCTTAGTCATATCAAATCAACAACATTTTGTACTAGCAATATGGATTTTAGAAACTTACTAAATGCTAGACTTTATATGGAGTCATACTTTAGTTCGGGGATATGTGCTTTGTGTATCCCACCTTTGAGATCTAAGTAAATGTTAGACGTCCCTGGCTGATTGTGCAAAATGGTGTCTAATAGAATGTTGTATTGGGAGTCAAAGCCTATCTTTTGTTGGCAAAATGGGCTAGGCTTGGTACCCGGCCCATCTTGAAATTGGTGGGCTGGGTTGGCATTTCCAGCTTGCCTTGGCACACCCTTTAGGAAGGTAAGGTGGGTTAGTCCACCAACCTGTTATATATATGTTAAAATAAAATTGATTATAATTTAAAGGTTACACGTTTTATGTGTTATATTGTAATTTAAATCACAAATAATTACAAATTAAGTTTAAATTATTGATTATAATTGAGTAGTTTAAAGTAGTTTAAAATGTAATGTAACAATTCTCTCAATTTATCCAATAAAAGATATTAATTAACGAGTAAAAACTTAAAAAATATTATATAATTAAGTATGTTTTTTTAAAATAAAAAAATTGACTGATTGATCCACTGGTCCACTCTCTAGCAAGGAGGGACAGGACCCATTTTTGGTATGAGAGAGGCAAGACAAGACAAAATGGAATGGGAGCTAATCGGTTTGGTCACCCTAGCACAATGTTGATATTTTTGTCGGTGCTAGTGACCAGTTTGAGTGTTTAATTTTCTTCATAGAAGTATTGCTTCATATATGTCCATTATGTTTTTCACATCCACCACTGATAGCTAGTAACTTATTTGTGATGATTTTCTATCCTCCAGATATTCTAAAACTTCTATTTGATAGGAAAAGAAACGAATCCCCCTCTCCCTCTTCAAAACGGGGGATCTATGGCAGAATTATCCATTCATTTTTAGCTAACTCTTGTACTAAATGTTTATATTTTCTTTACCATCCTGGATCTGTTATCTTTTTCCACCCTATATTGACATATATATTATGATTACATCATGGTTTTCAATGATTGGATATCCACAATATTTCAGGTATCTTCTAATTTTGTTTCGAGATGCACCTGTGGAAGTTTGGGCAATGACTAAAAATCCTATCATGGTAAGTTGGTTTATGTACTTGAAAACCCTGCCCCTTTCTCTCTTCTACCCTCTTTTGCCACCTTCATTTTCCCCTTCTTTTTCTCCGTTTGCCTTGGCTGTTCTATGGCACTTTTTTCTTGGCTTTTACATAAATGTTTTTTTTCTTTTATAATATAAAAAAATTATTAAGAAGGAAGGGAGAGATAACAAAAGGGAGAGGATAAGAAATTATAATAATCATGCCAATAAAGAGTGGGACTAAAATCATAAAATATGTACAACAGCTCACCAATTTTACTAAAGATCTACAAAAGTCCCCCGGCCCCCAGAAAGACTGTAGCAACCACCAAGAAGCTAAGTAACACTAATGGAAAATGCTCAGCATTGCAAAACAAAATGAGTTAATTTCAGAACTTGACTGCACATACCTGAGTTTGAAGTAAAACATTGATATTTGATGCAAAATATTTCACCTTTGACAGAATAATTGATTTCCAAAGTGGCTTATGTAAAAGGAAAGAATTGTTAGAAAATGAAGTGAGAAACTAAGTATACTTTACAAGAAAATAAATCCAAGATTCACAAGAGACCAACCAAATCCTTTGATGTGGATATAGAAGAGACATGGATTGATTTCAACAAGACCAAAAGAGACCATAATTTAATGAATTTCCTATCAAGTAAATTTAAAAAAAAATCAGAAATTCCAGCAAACAGTAGAGATTAGAAATGTAGAGTCAGACGAAGAATAAAAACTGAATTATAAGAGTAATGTGCAAATTATACAGTAAACTGGTAACATTATGCGTATTCTTGAAGTTGGAGAAGGATAAATATTGCCCTCTAAATTTGCTATGTAGTTGAGTTGTGAGTGAATCACTCCTTTTATCACTTGTATTCTGTTAGTTTATTACAACTGTTGTTATCAGTTGATTTCCGTGAGTTAGTTACTGTCACGCTCAGGTTGTTATGACTAATTTGTCGGTTATGTAGTTGCTGTAAATTGGTAAATAGGGAGCTCATCACGGCTACAAACTCAGTACAATCAATAGGCTACAAACTCAGTACAATCAATACGAAGTTTTCCTTTCTCTAGATTCTTTCTCTTTTTCTCTTAATATGAGTGATCTTACCTTTTTGGATCTACTTTTTACTCCTAAAATTTCTGTTATTATTGCAAGTAGAACTTGGTTATCCCAAACTAATTTCCTGTTATCATTATTGATGACTTCACTTTTTTTTTTTTTTAATTTAATTTCAAATCCCTGCTTTTTAGAGTTTTCCTTTTTCATTGGGAAGGTTAATTCTGATATCTGTAGAATAGTTGTTATTTATTTTGGTTGACAGTATATGTTCTTTATCTAGATATTTATAATGCTTGCTCTATCTATGTAGCTTAGATCATTAGCTCTTCCATTTACTGTGTTGGAATGGACACTTCCGACAGTTCCACGTCCTTCTAAAGATCAAACATCTGGAGCATTAGATGAAGCATCTAAACTATCAAAAACTTCCACTTCTGATTCAAGTTAGTTGTTTGCTCAAAGTTCCTAGATATTATCAGCATAGATGCTAATCTAGAATTGATGGTTCCTTTCCTTTTTGTGCAAGATTAGAATAGCTTATGAGTTATGAGTGATGTTGATTTCCTTCAGCAGAGGGTCCAAGTACAGAGGGATCTCATGATGACACGTCCGAAAGTTTTGCATTTGCTTTGATGAATGGGGCACTCGGAGTTTTTGAAGTGCATGGTAGAAGAATTCGAGATTTCAGGTGTGAACTTTTTTCTATGCAGCAAAAGGTTTACTACTGCAGTAGTGTTGCTTTAAATGCTATAGGGACTACTTAATATGCATTGATCCTTATTCAATCATTGTCAAAGTACGCGTAAGTTGCCTTTGTGTTGCCATTCTTTTCTGCAGTTAATACTTGTTAGTAGTTGATCTCTGATATAAACTATTAATTTGTTGTGCTTTTTCTTTACTATAGAATAGTTAGTAGTCATTAGATAGCTATAGTGGGGTAGCGAAGTGGAGGGTTCGTAGGTTGCTACAGGATTCAAAGTGCAAAGTGATTTTCCATAACAGCTATTGTTGTGGCAATAGTTGTTTTTTACACACTAAAATGTTGACATTATGATAGAAGTTTTGAAAACCCATATTTACCCCTGAAACAATGTTGATTAGTTTTTGTTTAGGTAGTCTAGTGTTTCTTTGCTTTAAAAACTTAATAGGATTTGAAAATCTTTTTCCTTGGCCATTCACACTTAGTTACCTCTATTCTGACCTCTTTTCCTTTGCACTTTTCAAACCTACTTTTTACTGTGTTCAGTTCATTTTTCTTTTCCATTCATATTTTGCTAATTTTTATCAATTTCTTTATGCTCCTTTTCTATTAATTTTGACGTTGTTATTCAGTTTTTTTACTTCTCTAATATCTTCTTTGCTTAATGAAATTGTGAGTGTAAACTGTGACATTATTTATTATGTACCATAAATTTCCTTAATTTAAGGTTTTTCTTTTTGACTATTTGTATGTGTAGTATAAATTTTTGTATTATAATAGTTAAAATAGTGGCCACCTCGCTTTGCTATCCTGATATAGCGTTTTAATTTTTTAACATCTGGCTGCTATGCTTTGTTATATGGATTGATAAATATGCTATATATTACTTATGCAGTCCTTCCTTTATGCTTGCTTTCTCTGATTAAGTTAACATTGTCCACAGACCAAAATGGCCTTCTTCTTCATTTGTATCATCCGATGGATTGATAACAGCAATGGCCTACCGCTTGCCTCATGTGGTATGCATCATTACTTCAGAATTGGTTCTCTGTCAACCTATCTAATCCAAATTTTCTCTAATTGAATGATGATTTTGACAAATTTAGTTTTTCAGGTAATGGGAGACAGAATAGGGAACATAAGATGGTGGGATGTGATGACTGGAAATTCTTCTTCATTCAACACTCACAGAGAAGGAATTCGACGAATCAAATTTTCACCTTTTGTTCCAGGGGACCAGAGCCGGGGGCGTATTGCTGTTCTGTTTTATGATAATACCTTTTCTGTATTTGATTTGGTAAGATAGGATTTCAATTTTTTATTTTGTTTTTATGAATCATTGGTGCAATTTAATTTTATTTCATGTCATACCTGGCATAAATATTTGTACTGCTTATGCTTTAAGCACTTTCATAACTTTGGTTTTTATGGGGAATTGAATACTAAGAAACTGAATATTATTATATGGCTTAAATATGTTTTTGGTTTTTGATAAATTACCCAATTTTGTTGTCGGTCCCATAAATCTATCACTTGAAATAAAAAAAAAAATAAAGAACTGATTTTGAGAGCCTGAAATCATCTTCTTGTGTTCTCTTATTTATAGGAGATAAAAATACAGATTCAGAGATACAATAAATAGAGAGACATGATTAATCCTAGAGAAGATAAACAGATGCATTCTAGGAACTAGGTCTACAACTAATCTCATAAATGTCCAACAAGATACACTTAATCTAATAAATACTTCAACACTCCCCCTCAAGCTGGAGCATACAAATTGAATGTACCAAGCTTGGAACAAATGAATTCCATTCGAGGTCCTCTCAAAGATTTTGTTAATGCATCTGCAAGCTGATCATTGGAACCAACAAACTCAGTACAAATTTCTTTAGTCAACAACTTCTCCCGAATAAAATGACAGTCAATCTCAATATGCTTAGTCCTCTCATGAAATACTGGGTTGGAAGCAATGTGAAGAGCAGCTTGATTATCACAATACATCTTCATAGATTGAATCTCACATAAGTTCAATTCTTGCAAGAATTGTTTTACCCAAACAAGTTCACAAGTAAGAGACGCCATTGCCCTATATTCAGCTTCAGCAGAGGATCGGGCAACGACGTTTTGCTTTTTGCTTTTCCATGAAATGATATTTCCTCCAAGGAAAACACAATAGCCTGTAGTGGAACGCCTATCCATAGGAGATCCAGCCCAGTCAGCATCACAGTACCCAAAAATTTGGGTATTTCCCTTATCTTCATATAATAATCCTTGTCCTGGAGCTTTTTTAATGTATCTTAAGATTCGAATGATAGCATTCCAATGATCCACACAAGGAGCTTGCATAAATTGGCTGACAACACCAACTGCAAAAGACAAATCAGGTCTAGTAATCGTCAAATAAATAAGTTTCCCAACCAGTCTTCTATATCTTTCGGGTCGAGAAAACTTCACCCCGTCCCGCCATTAACTTCAAATTTGGATCCATAGGACTGTCCACAGGTTTGCAATCAATCATACCTGTCTCTTTTAGAATATCTAGAGCATACTTCCTTTGAGAGATGACAATACCTTCTCTTGATTGAGCTACTTCAATACCCAAGAAATATTTTAGATTTCCAAGATCCTTGGTCTGAAAATGACTACACAAGTGTTCTTTTAGCTGAGATATTTTAGCAGCATCATTCCCTGTGATGACAATATCATCAACGTACACAATTAAATAAACATGTTTGCCAGGGGCAGTGTGACAAAAAAACACTGAATGATCTGCTTCGCTGCGTTTTAATCCAAAAGCTTGAACAATAGAGCTGAATTTTCCAAACCAAGCACGTGGAGACTGTTTTAGGCCATAGAGGGATCGACGTAATTTACAAACCAAACCAGACTCCCCCTGAGCAACAAATCCAGGAGGTTGCTCCATGTAAACTTCTTCTTCTAAGTCACCGTGCAAAAAAGCATTTTTAATATCCAATTGATGAAGAGGCCAGTGACGAATGGCGGCCATGGCAAGGAACAGGCGGACAGTGGTCATTTTGGCTACTGGAGAAAAAGTATCACAATAATCAAGCCCATATATTTGAGAATACCCTTTAGCTACTAACCTTGCTTTAAGACGATCAACCTGACCATTGGGCCCAACTTTAATAGCATAGATCCAACGACAACCAACTGTTTTCTTTCCCGAAGGAAGAGGAACAAGCTCCCATGTTTTGCTGTGATCAAGAGCCTGCATTTCAGAAATCATGGCTTGTCGCCATCCAGGATGATCAAGCGCTTCGACCACATTTTTGGGAATTGTAATAGAGGAGACAGAGGAAATAAAAGAACAATAGGAAGGAGACAATCTATGATAACTAAGAAAATTGTAAATGGGATGAGGATTACGAGTAGAACGAGTACCTTTACGAATGGCAATGGGCCAACTGGAGTCATCGTTATCAGGAGCCGTGGTATTAGAGGATGATGGTGAAGGACCTGTTATGGATGGCTCATCTTGGGGAATAGGATTGTTCACCTGGTTCCTGCGTTGATAGGTGATGATAGGCTGTGATGCTGATTCTAGAGTATTTTGGTTGGGATTTGGGGTGTCAGGAATAGGAGGTACAACTGATTCAACAAAGGGAACAGGAAACACATTTTGGACAGAATCAATATCCTGCATAGAATAAGGAAAGAAGGATGATGATTCAAAAAAGGTGACATTAGCAGACATGTAATACCTCTTGGTTTCAGGAGAATAACACCGATATCCTTTTTGAAGACGAGAATACCCCAAGAAGACACATTTGATAGCTCTAGGTAAGAGTTTATCTAAGCCAGGAGACATGTCATGAACAAAACATATACATCCAAATACTCTAGGAGAAACATGAAAAATTGGTTCCTTTGAAAATAGAATGGAGTGTGGAACTTTATTATCAAGAGAAGAAGATGACATTCTATTAATGAGAAAGCATGCAGTTAGAATAGCATCTCCCCAATGATGAATAGGCATATTGGCACCCAGTAACAAGGTACGAGCAGTTTCAACCAAATGTCTATTCTTTCGTTCTGCTATACCATTTTGCTGTGGTGTGTGAGGACACGTGGACTGGTGTAAAATGCCTTGAGAATTTAGGACATTAGAAAAATCAGTAGAAAAGTACTCTTTGGCATTATCACTTCGTAAAATTTTGATTACTTTTCCAAATTGAGTTTTGATTTCATTAAGGAAAGACTTAAAGATAGGCAATAGTTCAGAACGATCTTTCATAAGATAAACCCAAGTACATCTAGAAAACTCATCAATAAAAGTAACAAAATATCTAAAACCAAAAGATGAAACACGACTAGGTCCCCATATATCTGAATGAACAATACTAAAAGCAGAATCACATCTAGATTCAGAATGATTTGGAAAGGATGACCTGGTATGTTTCCCTAGTTGACAGGCTTCACATTCAAAAGTTTGAAGGTTCTGAAGTTCAGGAACCATTTTTTTCAATTTTGCTAAATGAGGATGCCCTAATCGCTCATGTAACAGTTTTGGGGATAAGGATGCAACACAAGATACAGATGACTTAGTACTAAGGTAGTATAAGCCTCCAGATTCATGTCCTTCTCCAATCAGTCGACCCGTACCACGTTCCTGGATAACAAAGCAATTGGCATTAAAGGTTACTGAGCAATTCAATGATTTGGTTAATTGGCTTACAGAAACAAGACTGAATGGAAAAGAAGGAACACAAAGAACATTTTGAAGGTTTAAAGAAGAAGAGATGGATACTTGACCAATTCCTTTAGAGGCTACTTTAGATCCATTAGCTAAAAATATGAGATGGGATGTTTTAGGAAATGAAAGAGAGGAAAATAAAGAGGTATTACCAGACATGTGGTCAGAAGCACCTGAGTCAATAATCCATGGATTTTGACTTTCCACAGATTGCGAAATGCAAGCGGTTGATGAATTTGGTGTTGTAGATGCTTGAGCCAAATTGGTTGATTTCATCCTTAAATATTCTTGATACTCTTCATGAGAGAACTTGGGCTCATCAACTTCAGATTTTGAGGTATTAGCTGCCTTATCAGGAAAGCCGTGCAGAGCAAAGCAATTTTCCTTAGTATGTCCCATTCTTTTGCAATGAGAGCATTGAGGACGTCCTTTCCCACCACGTCCTCTAGAGCTGTGATTACCTCTTCCACGAGTAGAAACCATGGCGGAAGAATCAGCAAGTTCCTGACTGTTTTTGCTTTTGATAGAAGGAACACGAAGTAGCCTTGTGATTAAACTCTCCGTAGAAGGAACTTCTTCTCCAGTTAGAATCTGGTCTCTAACATGATTAAACTCTGGATTCATAGCCCTAAGAATCATTACCATATAGAATTTATCCAGCTTCGTCTTTCTTTCTTCTAATGATTCTGCCTCCAGGAACATTTTTAATTCTTCAACAGCTGACTGAGCTTCAGCAACAAAGGACATCATGGAATTATCCTCTTGCTTAAGGGAGGCAAGTCTATTAGCAGAATCATAAAGTCGTTGAATATCATTAGCAAAGATATTTTGGGCCTTTTTCCAAAAAGAATTACATGTCTTAAAGGCTCGAAGAGTGCTCAAAATATGTGGTTCAACAGATTGCCATAATAGTGCACAAAGTTGATAATCCAGTTTCTTCCATTGAGGAGCCTGATCTGCTGGTATAGTACTCCCATCTTCTTCTAGATGATCATGAACTCCTTGACCTAGAAACCAGAGCTCAACAGAGGAAGCCCAAGACAAATAATTTTTTCCATTTAATTTTTCTGTGGTTATAGTCGGAGTCCCAGAAAAAGATACAGACACAGTTCCTGACATTTTCCAGGAAACAAGAGAGGACCAGCGTGTTGTTAGAGTGCTGTCAGAGACAGGACCGAGAGAGGCAGAGAGAAAAACACAGACCCACCACGTTTTGTGACCGAGAACACAAAACAAAGTGCAGATCTGGCACCAGGACGACGAGGCGAGCCGGATAGAGGTGGCCTGGAGCAAAACGGCCACCGAGAGGACGGCGCGTGAGGCCCACGCGCGGAGGAAGCCGCGGACAAGGGTGGCGCGTGGAGGCGCGTGAGGCAGAGATAGAGGAAGCGAACACTGGGGTTGGGTCGCGCTCCTCGAGGCGAGCCAAACCCAAGTGTCAGAGAGGAAAACGGCGCTGGAGAAGACAGCACCGGCGGCGGACGGCAGCGGACGGCGGCGAACGGCGATTAATGCCAGAAAAATAACAGAGACAGGCAGAGCGGGATGAACCCGCTCTGATACCAACTTGAAATAAAAAAAAAAATAAAGAACTGATTTTGAGAGCCTGAAATCATCTTCTTGTGTTCTCTTATTTATAGGAGATAAAAATACAGATTCAGAGATACAATAAATAGAGAGACATGATTAATCCTAGAGAAGATAAACAGATGCATTCTAGGAACTAGGTCTACAACTAATCTCATAAATGTCCAACAAGATACACTTAATCTAATAAATACTTCAACACTATCTAAATCACTTTATTACCTTGTTTAAAGCACTATCTAATATGCTTTGGGTAGAAAAAACAAAGTAAAGAAATGATTAGGAATCCAAAACAAAATCTAGTAATTTATCACGGACAAAAAAATTTTAACCTTATTATATTAACAAATATATTTGCTTTTTCATCAATCTTATTTAGCTATTTGGGGCTGAAAAATAAAAGGTTGAAATAATTTTTTTTTCTCTTTTGAAATGCTGTGAGCATATCTTGTAATTGTTTGATCATATATCTGGAAATGTTTTTTTTTGCAGGACTCACCAGACCCCTTAGCCAATTCACTTTTGCAACCTCAATTTCCTGGAACCCCTGTGTTGGAACTTGATTGGTTGCCCTTGCGAACTGATAAGAATGATCCACTGGTACTGTGCATTGCTGGAGCAGATGGTAGCTTTCGTCTTGTTGAAACTAATGTGTGAGTGCCACAAATCACTCTCAGAAGTCAGAAGAGATGAGCTTCTTCGTGTTATTATTATGAATATAAACTTATAATTGGTGGTCCTAGTCGTGTTCTAATGGCTTGGACTAATTTTTAGCAATTATGAAAACATTCATCTCGTGTGTGTGTGTGTTTTTACGGGGACATATCTAGTAAGGGCACTAGAGGTGAGCGAGAGAGGAGTTAATATAAGTAAGTCATATGTGGATGATAATTTTAATTTTGTTCAATGTAATCTTATCCTTCATTTTAAATATAAAGCCTGGTATGCATCCTGTCTTTACAATGTTTAAATATTTGTGTTCACACGGAGTTATATTTTCACACAACACAGTGCAACAGTAATGGACATTTTGTTCATTATAGTTCTAATTTTTAGAGTTTTAGTATTCTATTCAAGGTAAATGTATCACCAAGTGTTTGTCATCATCTAGATGACAGCTAATAATAGATGTCCTAATTTCAGGGTTTATTAAATGAACTGACTATGTGAATTACATGCCTTTTTTTTCACGCAGAAATGATAAACGATCTGGCTATGCACTCCAGATCAGAAATACAAAGGAGAGATTCCGGTCAATGCCTATATGTTGTCCCATTCTACTTCCTTCACCACATGCGCTGGTAGTATGCTAGAACTAAATTTACTGATTTTACAGAATTAAATAAATTATATTTTCTTTACTACCAAAGTTCTATAACTAACTCCCATAGTAAATGTCAGCCTTTTATAGACGAAACACATGGTGAACACCAGATTTCATGTGTAGTGATGGAAGTAAGAAGTATCAAGAAAATATTAAAAATGAAATGGAAATGTTTTCAGAGTGTGAATCATTTTGAATTTTTCATGACATGGTAAAATGATATCTGTTTTCATTTGAGATCAACAAATTTTCTTCCTGAAAAAAATTTAAATTGCGTATACCCCTTTCCTTGAATTTAAGTTAACCATAGTTCATGTTTAGTCTATGTCTGTATAATTCATACAAATTGGGTTTTTCATTTTCCCGTTCTTGAAATACTTGTACATATTTTACTAGTTTTGTATAAGTTACGATTGCATTGGTCATCAACTCTTTGCTATTTATCCATAGTGCTTCATTTAATATGTATTAATGTTGCTACAGGCGTTGCGCATGATTTTACAATTGGGTGTTAAACCATCTTGGTTTAATACATGTAGTACAACCATAGAAAAGAGACCTCACTTACTTCCAGGAACGCCTTCATCTACAGGGGATCTTCGCACATACATGGTCAACATACCACCTCTTGGTGACTCAGTGGTGCCAGAGATGCTTTTAAAAGTATTGGAACCATATAGAAAAGAAGGTTTACATCTCTGCAGAGTCTAATAATGAAAATTCTTCCGTTTGACATTCTTATACTTTTGGTGTTAAAAACGCTACCAATATGTCCATTTCTGAAGGTTGCATGCTAGACGATGAGAGAGCAAAGCTGTATGCTAGTATTGTGGATCAAGGTTGTGCTGCAAGGTTTGCTTTTGCAGCTACAATATTTGGTGAATCCTCAGAAGCTCTGTTTTGGCTACAGCTGCCTCATGCATTTAAACATTTGATGAACAAGTTATTGAGAAAGAATCCACCAAAGGAGTCCACAGTAGCAACTATATCTGATGTTGATGATGAAAGGTCTCTACTATCTCGGATATCATCAAAAGGAAAACGGACTGAAGAAACAGGGAGAGATGTATTGGTAAGATGTATTATAGTTTCCATTGAGTTTCTATTTCATTATATATCCTGTTGTGTCCCACATTCCAATTGTTGAAAGTTGCTGTTAACGTTGAGTTCCAGATTCTTTAAGTGACTTTAGCTTTCTGGTTAGCAGAGCCAAGGTCAACTACGGTTAATGGCTTTTGACCGAGAAGAGTTGTGGAAAACTGCTAGTGAGCGAATTTCTTGGCATGAAAAATTAGAAGGTGAAGAGGCGATACAAAAACGCGTTCATGAGTAAGTAAATTCATCATTTCTTTTTATTAATATGTAGAGATTGCCAACATACGGCTTAGTTTGATATAAGGTCAGAAGAAGGTATTTTAGATTAATATCTTCATGTCAAACTCCTTAGTTTGTTGTGTCCTTCAGTTTTTCAGTGCTGCATTATTTGAAATTATAATATGCAAGACACTGTATTTATGGTCTCTCACTCCACATATTGATATCTTGTTCCAAACAGAAAAGGTGCAGCTGTGACAGAAACCACTGTAGTTTCTTTTCTTTTACTACTTTTGTTGAATATAGGGAAAAACTCTATAGGGTTAATTTCCCTTGTGTATTTACCACACATAGGGCAGTGTATTTATAATAAAGAAAGGTACTCCTCAAAAGAGTAACAGAATACAAATAGAGTAAATAAAAAGATATTATTTGATATTGTGATTAACAATATCTAACAATATCTCAACAATATCAAACAATATCAACTAATATCTAATCATATCTAACACTCCCCCTCAAGCTGGAGCATACAAATCGTATGTGCCTAGCTTGGTACAAAGATAATCCATCCTAGGTTCCCGTAAAGACTTAGTGAAAATATCTGCTAATTGATCACATGAGTTAACGAACTCAGTCTTGATGTCTCCAGACATAATCTTTTCCCGAATAAAATGGCAGTCAATCTCAATGTGTTTAGTCCTCTCATGAAAGACAGGATTAGAGCTTATATGGAGAGCAGCCTGATTGTCACATACTAGTGTCATTTGAGTGACATCTCCAAATTGTAGCTCTTTAAGCAATTGCTTGAGCCAAATAAGTTCACAGGTAGCTGAGGTCATAGCTCTATACTCGCTTCTGCACTGGATCTTGCCACAACACTTTGTTTCTTACTTTTCCATGAGATCAAGTTACCACCAATGGAAACACAATACCCAGATGTAGATCTTCTATCGAGAGGAGATCTCGCCCAATCAGCATCCGAATAGCGAGACAACTCTTGTATGATTATGGGAGTCATACACCAAACCTTTTCCAGGAGACTTTTTGATGTACTTCAATATACGGATGACTCGCATTCCAATGATCTTGACAAGGAGAATTGAGGAATTGACTCACCACACCGACTCGCAAAGGAAATGTCAAGGCGAGTAACTGTAAGATAATTTAATTTTCCAACTAATCTTCTATACTTGTTCAGGATCCGACATTGGCTCCCCCGATTTGGCAAGAGTTTGGTATTAGGATCCATGGGTGTGTCAACAGGCTTTGAATTCATCAACCCAGTTTCCTCCAAAATATCCAATGCATACTTTCTTTGAGATATAACAGTGTCATCGGTAGATTGTGCTACCTCAATACCCAAGAAATATCCGAGTTTGCCAAGATCTTTGGTTTGAAAATGGTGGCAAAGGTGTTGTTTCATCCGAGAGATGCCATGATGGTCACTACACTGTAAGAACAATGTCATCGACATACACTATCAAATAGATACATCCAGACATTCGAGTGACGGTAAAAGACTCGAGTGGTCTCGCCTCACTTCTAGTCATGCCAAATTGTTGAACAACGCTGCTAAATTTTCCAAACCAGGCCCTAGGAGACTGTTTTAGGCCATATAAAGATTTGCGAAGACGACATACCAATCCAGAAGACTCCCCCTGAGCAACAAATCCGGGAGGTTGCTCCATATAAATCTCTTCTTGCAAATCGTCATTCAAGAAAGCATTTTTGACATCCAGTTGATAAAGAGGCCATTGTTGAATAGCAGCCATGGCAATGAATAAACGAACAGAAGCCATTTTTGCCACTGGAGAGAAAGTATCACCATAATCCAACCCAAAAATTTGGGTATAGCCTTTGGCTACAAGGCGAGCTTTGAGGCGATCAATAGTACCATCAGGACCAACCTTGATAGCGAAGACCCACCTGCAACCAACAACAGATTTTCCAGATGGTAATGGGACAAGCGTCCAGGTTCCACTAGTCTGAAGAGCACCGAGTTCATCTAGCATGGCCTGACGCCAACCAGGGTGGGCTAAGGCTTCAGAGACAGATTTAGGAATAGACACAGAAGAAATAGACGAGAGACAGGTATAAAATGGTGAAGAAATTCGATGATAACTTAAAGCAGTATAATGTGGAGAAGGATTACGAGTAGAACGCGTACCCTTACGAAGGGCAATAGGAAGGTCAGACTCGTGGACTGAACCGGAGGAGGCGAGTATTTGGCACTGGGAGTGAGTCATGTGGCGTCTGTTGTGGGCGAGGTCTGCGACTATAAACCTGAAGGGGTGGTGGAGGAGGAGGGGCTAATGGTGGATGGTCCTCAACATAAGGATCAATGAGAACAAGAATGGGAACTGTAGCAGATGGAGACTCAGCAGGTAGGGAAGGGTACTTAAAGTAAAAGGAAAACTCATTGAAGGTGACATCGGCAGACACAAAATAGCGATTAAGAGAAGGAGAAAAACACTTGTATCCTTTTTGGGATCGAGTAAATCCTAAGAAAACACATTTGTGTGATCGAGAAGATAACTTATCATGACCAGGATCAAAATTGTGGACAAAACAGGTAGACCCAAAAACCTTCGAGAGGTAAAGGATGGAGAGTGTCATGAGGAAATAAAATAGAATGGGGAATTTTGTTATCTAAAACCGAAGAGGGCATACGATTAATAAGATAACGAGCAGGTAAGAACGACATCACCCCAAAAATGTTGAGGAACCTCACCATGAATTAAAAGAGTACGGGTTGTTTCAATAAGGTGTCTATTCTTGCGCTCAGCCACCCCATTTTGTTGAGGGGTATAAGCACAGGAAGTTTGATGAAGAATGCCATGAGAAGCCATAAATTGTTTAAACGAGTTTGAAAGATATTCACGGCCATTATCACTTCGAAAAGTTTGAATAGAGACACCAAATTGATTTTTAATTTCATGATAAAAGTTTTGGAATATAGAAAACAACTCAGAACGATTTTTCATTAAAAATAACCAAGTACAACGAGAGAAATCATCAATAAAAGTAACAAAATATTGAAAACCTAAATTAGACTTAACACGACTGGGTCCCCAAATGTCGAGTGAACTAAGGCAAAGGGGGATGAAGCACGTCTGGAAAAAACACTACGAGAAAAGGAAGTACGACTATGTTTGCCTAACCGACAAGACTCACACACCAAATTGGACAAGCTGGGATAAGCTGGGAACAAGTTGTTGTAATTTGCGTGACTCAGGGTGACCAAGCCGAGCATGAAGGAGAGAAGGAGACTCCATAAGCTGTGCCAACATGTGGAGAAGGTTGAAGATAATAAAGTCCATGTGACTCACATCCGGTGCCAATCACTCTTTGCGAGCTCCGATTCTGTAGGGAAACAGAAGTTTTGGTAAAAGAGATAACACAATCAAGAGATCGAGTTAGACGGCTAATGGATAATAAGTTAAAGGGGGACCAGGGTACATACAAAACATTATCAATGGACAACGAGGGAAAAAGAGTAACCGTTCCAACACCATGAGCTAAAGTTGTAGACCCATTCGCCATTGTAACGAGAGGGTAAATTATGAGAAGAAGTGAAAGAGGAAAATAAGGATTTGTTACCGAGTGATGTGATCGGTGGCGCTCGAGTCAAGAACCCAAGGGCCAATAGAAGAAGAGTGAGTCAGACCAAGCAAAAGATGTACCTGTGTGGGCAACGAAGTAGTGGAACCGGAGGGCTTTCGATCCTCATACCATTGAAGAAAATCATTGAAGATAGCAGATTTGTCCGAAGGTACAGACGAAGGAGGATCCACAGCAGAGGATTGTGCGGAAGAATCGAGTCCGAGCAAGCTGCAGCAGATCGGCGAGGATAACCATGTAAAGCATAACATTTGTCAATTTTGTGGCCTAGTTTGCCACAATGGTCACACTTGACACGCCCTTTGCCTGGCTTGTGAGAGCGATTACGATCATCACGGTGAGAGACCAAGGCGAGATGAATCATTAGAAACTACAGGGGGAATATTGAGAGGTTTACATGGCACCCGCAAAGGGAGGAACTGGTAGCGGTAAACCGGGTGTAACAGGGGAACCCAAAATCCGGTCACGAACAGGGGCATATTTATCAGCAAGTCCGTGTAACATCAAAACCATGAAAAACTTTGATCGTTGCTCTAATTCTTGGGCAGGAGTCGAGGCAGGGGGTAATAACTCATTAAATTCATGGAGAAGAGCATGGATCTTACCCACATAATCCGCCACAGGATCCTTATCTCGAGGAGCAATAACATCAAGAAGATTGTAACAAACACCATAAAGACGTTGAGTGTCATTGGTGTATAATAATTTGGCTTGTTCCCAAACGTCATAACATGTGCCATACGATCGAAAAATTTGTTTTAAAGAAGATTGGATGGTATTCTTGAGAACCATACATATATGAGCATCAACTTTCTTCCAACGGACACGATCATTGGAAGGAACATCATCTACCTTGGTAGTAAGATGATCAACATACCCCCGACTCTCAAGCCAAAGTCTAATATCGGATGCCCAAGTTGCATAATTCGTACCATCTAATTTATCAATGGGTAAATTCACATTGACATAATTAGTAAAAACGATTGCTCGGACCCACCGGAGCTGAGCGAGGTAACTTCGAATTGGAAGTGGCGGCGGAAGATGCCATGGAGGAAGAGAGAGAAAAACCCTAAAACATCAAAGAGGTCCGATTGGAGCAGCGAGGACAGATCCGGAGAGAGGAGAAGGAGGCGATGCCGGCGCAAAGATCGGCGGCCTGAACGGCGGCGAGACGCGCCGCCACGCGCGGCGGAACGGGAGAAGGTGGCGCGGCTTCGGGAGGCGCGTGAGGGAGCGTGGCTGCTCCGATGACCGCGAAACTTCCACGGTGGAGGTCGCACGGGGGAGGCGAGCAAAACCCTGTGCTCGGCGGTCCGAACTGCTACTCTGGCGACGGCGGCGGCGGCGGCGATGGAGGCGGCGACAGCTGCAGGTTCAGTGGCAGAGCCGAAAAAAATCCCAAGAGACCTTAAGCTCTTGATACCATGTTGAATATAGGGAAAAACTGTATAGGGTTAATTTCCCTTGTGTATTTACCACACATAGGACAGTGTATTTATAATAAAGAAAGGTACTCCTCAAAAGAGTAACAGAATACAAATAGAGTAAATAAAAAGATATTATTTGATATTGTGATTAACAATATCTAACAATATCTCAACAATATCAAACAATATCAACTAATATCTAATCATATCTAACAACTTTCAATGGGATTATTACTTTAATTATAATACTCATCTTTTGATGCTACCAGGCTTGTGTCTGTTGGAAACCTAGAAGCTGCAGTTAGTTTATTGCTGTCTACACCCCCAGAGAGCTCTTACTTCTATGTCAATGCTCTTCGTGCTGTTGCTCTCTCTTCTGCTGTTTCAAGGTCTCTTCATGAACTTGCAGTGAAGGTGAGTTTACTGGGGCATGCATGTGTTTAGGCATCAAAATACAAATTATGATTAGTATCCAAGAATATAGTTGGTCTAGTAGGTGTTATAACATCAGATATATTTTTTAGGTTGTTGCAGCCAACATGGTGAGGGCTGACAGGTCACTATCTGGCACACATCTTCTATGTGCAGTTGGAAGATATCAAGAAGCATGTTCTCAGGTAAGGCTGCATTCATAATATATATTTGTTTACTTTCTCGGTTTTATTAATTCAGTATCAAACATATGCACATAATTTATAAGGTCTCTCAGCTGTTTCCAGTTTGGAAATTTTACGAACTTGTAAACAAGAACCTGGTTGCTAGATGGTGTGTTACCTTTTGGTAGTTTTCAAGGGAAAATTTTGTCATGAAAATTTAATTTTCTCCATTTAGATGATAACCAGATTCATGATATATCATATTTTATCTAACATTAAAAAAAAAACTTATGGGAAGGAGAGGCTGCTGAATTTTAATGTTAAGGAAGTGAAACATCCTATTGTTAAGAGAGTTCCAATTGGAATTCTCACATTGACTACATATATGACCAAATTAGAGTATATATGAGTAGGTATAAATCACATTACAAGTTGGTTTTGTAAAATTAAACTAGGCTTAAATCTACTTTCTATTATGGTATCAGAGCCTATCTTAATATGGTTTGTTGGGCCTATCATATCACTCTGCCATTATTAAACTACCCACAAATATCTAATCTCACTTACATGATGTCAATTTCTTGGCCTGAAAGGATATGTTGGAGATCCTTCATTGACTAAAAGATATAGAATTAAAGTATATGTGGGTGGAAACCTTATTTTAAAAACCAATTTTGTAAGATTGAGTTTAGAATACCTTTCTAGAAAATCATGTAATGTTTGTATAGGATATCTTATCGTTGGCTTTTCAAAGTTGATGAATAACATTAACAACTGAAATCTGCAGATGCCAACTTTCTTAGCGCGGGAAGCTGTTAAAGCATGGTTACAACATTAATTATAAAGGGTTTTCTATTGTGTGCCTATAGACATGTTCGGAAATAAATAAATCTTTTTGTCGAAAAAGAATGTTCACTATATTATGAAAAATATAAAAAATAACTCTATGAAGTGCAAAAATAACTCTCTTTTTATGCAAGTTCAACTGAGAAACATTTCTGAAAAATAGATCTTAATTTGAAATTCTAGATTTTATGAAAAATTCAATGAATACTTATTTAGCTATTGCAAATTTAAAATTAAGAGACAGGTTATCACTATAATGTGCTTGATTTTCTAAGAGAAATGCAATGCCATATCTTATGCAGCTACAAGATGCTGGGTGCTGGATTGACGCTGCAACCTTAGCTGCTAGGCACTTGAAGGGATCAGATTATGCAAGGTTCTTACTAGTTCTTGACAGCATACTTTTTGTCCACATTAACTTCAATATGGGACCAAACATTACATTGATTGATTGAATAACCAACAATCCTCTGGCTGCATGACAAAATTTATACTAGATAAATCCCGCACTAGTTTTTATGATATTTTGCATCTCTAACTATTATGTTGTCTAATTACGGGAAGAATGGAAACTTCCTTAAGGCTATTGATGACAGGCAAGTGAAATTTTTTCTAGAACCATTTTGAATTTTACAAAAATTTTAACTCTTACTTTCCCGTATGATTGCTTACTCTGCCTTCGTAATAAAAACATCATTTGAATTGAATATCATCATGACTAGAAGATCTTCCCTACGTTTTGTTATTCTTGCAGAGTGTTGCAAAGATGGGCTGGACACATCCTTCACACTGAACATAATATCTGGAGGTACCACTGCGTTTATTTATTTATATTTTATCTCGTCCAAGACTTTTCTGTATTTAATCTCAAATGACCCAATGCAGGGCCATAATTATGTATGTTGCCGCTGGTGCACTGCAAGAGGCTTTGGCTGCTCTTCGTGAGGCTCAGCTTCCTGACACAGCTGCAATGTTTATCCTTGCATGCCGTGAAACCCATGCAGAAATAGTTTCTACCCTTGGTATTCCTGACGATGAATCAAGTTCATCAGTCAAGGATGAGCTACTAAACTTGCGTGCTTTAGATCCAAAGAATGAAGATGTCATTGCAGTTGATGAATATTTTGGGCAATATCAAAGAAAATTGGTGCATCTATGCATGGATTCGCAGCCTTTCGCTGACTAATTTTGAAATGGGTTCAATTTCTCGTTTATATATTCATGGAAGAACTATTGGATTGATTAACTCATCATGAAAAGAAGCTTTGACTGATTCCCATTCCAGTACAACCTGGCGCCTGCATTTTTTGTGTCAAAGGATGGATGCTTTTATTGCCTATGTTGTTGTAAAAAGTGTATAATGGAAAACATTGAGAAAGGGATGACATAGAGCGACGAAGTCTTGGCGGTAGGCAGATACCAGAGTCCCTTATGAAACACATTCCTATTGATTGCAGTTAAAATGATTTACGTGAACTTCTTACTTAAAAGTTGCAATTACATGGGGTAATTGATCCCTATTAGCTCTTATATATAAAATTTTGTAGGGAACAAATCATTAAATTGTATTTGTATTTTTTATTTATAGGAGACTGAAACGGTTGCATATATGTTAAATGTAGTGTTAATTAATTGTTATACTCGATTTATTTGGGTGTTGGATGGTTTTACGTGGTTCTCATTTAATTTGTTTTTCTGATGCTTAATATGCTATTAATTTGCCTTGTGATGAGAGAAAAAAAAGTAGATTACAAGAGAAAAAGATACAATATATATTTTCTATATAAAAGGAGGCGAATTTTAGTTTGTTAGTTTGGATTTGTTAGATTTACCGATTTGAAAAATCCAAAAAGCAGTACTTGCATAATTGATTTTTTTTTTTTTTCGAATTGAATAGAAAATCAAGCATTTAATCAGAGCAATTATGTATTCTTCTTAAAAGTTATTTACAAAACTATTTTTAATCTAAACACACTACCTCTGCAAGTCCATCCATTAGAGAGAACAGTTATCGATGAATCAAAGACAAAACAGACAGGGTACTAAAGCGTAAAAAACCGCAATTCGACTCCACCAGAGAGACAACCAATAAAATAATGACAATGAAGAAGCAGCAACAGAGCATCACCACACATTCCTGTGGCGGTGGTGGCCTTACTCGGAGACAAACAAAACAGAGCTTCTCTTTGAAAGTCTGCTCCTTCAGGACCTTAACGTTGACGGAGCTAAAACAAATCTACTCTACAACTTAGATAATTAATCTCACGATCCCACACTAGTTGTGCTGGAGATTTATGCGGAAGACGAAGTAGACGTGGTCCGCTGGAACTCTTTCTCGGTATATCGGGTAGGTGGAGCCATTTTTATCTGAGGCCACCGCCATTGTCTAGAAACGTGTTTAGGTAGGGGCATTGTCGCATATTATACATGGCACAAAACAAGTTTAGGGAAAAAAATTACACTTGATAAGTTGATACTGGAGGGTCCGAGTTATCTTACTATCCCAAATCCATCGTTGTAGTTGGTATTGGAAAGAAAATAGTTATGTAAATATTTCATTTTGCCGCATATTGTTTATTACTTGGCAAGTATGTAACTCTTCAAATAGGTTTTCAACATTTATATTATCCCAAACGCAAAGAAGAAAAATAGAGCACGAAGATCCGTGTGGCCTTGGAAAAACGTAGGTTGGCACAAACAATCCATCCCTCACTTGAATTCAATAGAAGGGTGCTTGGTAATAACCTCCAGGTTGGCCAATCCCACCAAATTGTGGCATTCCATAAGGCATCATAGGTTGCGGGGCAGGAGCATAGTATCCAGGAGCAACAGCAACTCTAGTCAAACCCACTTGCCCATGCATCCCCTCCCTCCCATATTGCTGCCACACCTGCTGCTCCTGCACAAGCAAATGCTGCTTCCTCTCCATGTCTGCTATTTGCACGTATGAGGGTGGTGGCACCGACAAGGATGCTGCAAACGGATCCTGCGGTCCTACAGCTTGAACTGTTCCATCCGGAGCAGGCAAAGCCAGAATTGGAATGCCACTCTTCCCAGGTCCAGGCAGCGCCACACTACTAGCACTACCACCACTCAGCTGAGTTGTGCTAACGTGTTGCCTCACAGCCCCTTGATCGTACATCCCATTCAGTAACAGCGGATCAAACCCCCCTGCCAATTCAGCCTTCTGCTTTGACAGGTTACTAGTATTCTCCACCAATGCCAGTTCCCAGTCTGCTTTACCAACTTCAGCAGCTGGTGTTTCCCATGCAGATTTCACTTCAGATTCCCCATTTGAAGGAAACGCCTCCCAGGAACCTTCAGCCCTCACAGTTGCAGGCCCTGAGAACAATGCCAAAGCCAGCTTATTCCCTTGCTCATCAGCTGAAACCCCATCATCCCTTAGATCCACCAGAACACTTGTCTCTTTTTGAGAAGCAACCTCCTTATTAGGCTGTGCAATCGAAGGGGCTGATGGAAGTGTGAAACTCTCACTCACAGGTGCTGGAAGAGCCTTCACCTCATTCATATATGCCTCAGGCTCTGATTCATTCACAGTTAACTTCATCTCTAATTTCCTCTCAGGGCTCTTTGGCCTATTACTCATCTCCTTCAAGAAACCCTCCAGCGTCCCCAGAAGCTTGTCAGTGATCCTCTGCACTTCAGGATACTCAGAAGACTTTGCAATCCCCATATCCTTACACCAAACATAGAACCCCACCAACTCATCCATCATCTTGGCAGCACTGACGTAGGAATCAAAAGCCTTCACACAATGCACATACTCCATCTCCGTGAACCGATCCAACAACACCCCCAAAACATCACACACTTCAACATACAACTTAAAACTATCTCTCACAACTTGGTAAAGCGCAACTAACACCAACCTATTGTTCTTAGCAGAACCACTAGGCCTACAACCCAAGACACGATCAAGCATCCGCAGCAAATGCTTCAACCTCTCCAAAACCCTCTCTGCTCTCATTTCCCTCACAGGAGTAACCTCACTCCTCTTATTACTCTCATCCTCTCTCTCTTCCCTAAACTCCTCAGATTCAATCCCGCCTCTCAGCTTCCTCCGGTACGCCACAAACTCAACCTTCTCATCAAGATACAACGCATAAAGCCTCACGAACCCCGCGTGATCCCAGGAACTAGAATGCGCCTCGTCTCTGAAATCAGACATGTTGAGAATCCTGGTCCCTCGGCGCGTGGCATGCACGATCTCCTCCTCAAACGCGGGGTGGCCATCCACCAAGAGTCTATGAACAAGCATAAGAGCCTTAACAGCCACAATCCAATCACGAGTCTTGGTAAGCCTCTTGGAAACGGTGATCAAAGAGGCACTGATGTAGCCTCTGGAATGGGATGTCAAAGTAAGGATTTCTCTGATGTATTTGTCATCAGCAGGAACCTCTTCATGACTCGTGGCTTTGACGACCAAGACTTCGAGGTCAGGGGCCAAATTACCAGCGACTTTCGCTATGCTGATGCTGGTTTGGTCCTTCACCACACCAATCGCCTTGCGGATCGTGCTCGATGCCATAATGGGTGTTTGATTCGCTTTGTGGAGCGAAATTCAGATGAAATTTCAGATTTTTTTTTTTTTTTTGGGATTGTGTTTTAAGGTTACCTGGGTATGATGGAGACAGAGGGTGGAACAGTGTGCGAAGGGAACGGAGGAATTGATGACTTGTGTTAATGGACGAAGTGGTGCGTTGTGTTTGTTTGTGTGTAGTGTGATCAAATAAATCAATGCATTTAACTTGTTACCTGTGTGAGTTGTAATAATCCGAAGAAAGAGAAAGAAAAAAGAGAGAAGAGAGAAGTGGAAGACAAAGCAGAGATTGCGAAACCGCGTAATCAAAGGAAAAGGATTTTGATTCTCTAAGTGTTTTTTATTATTTTTACTTTATTTAAAAACAAAGTGAAGGATTACTTAACATGGATAAATAACATATATTGAAATACTAAATGTATGTTAAATTTGTTAATTTTTGTGGTAATTATTATAATTTTTTTCTGTTCTATATTTTAGAAAAAACATTTTATATGCTTTTAATAAATATCATGAGTTTTTATATTTTATATTAATAAATAATGAGAACAAAAAATAATAATTAATAATAAAGATTAATTTAGTATATTGATAATTTTTGTAAATATTTAATTAAAATATTTTTATTGATAATATGTATTATATTAGGAATAAAAATAGTAACAAAAACAAGGTATACAGAGAGAAAGTTTTTCATAATATTTACTTTATGAAATTTAGATATTTACTAAAATATTTGATTATATAAGTTTTTTAGTTTAAAACTTTATATATTCCAATTAAATTCAATTAATGATTCGACGCTGTCGGCGTATCGTGCTGACGTTTTCCACTCATAACCGATGAAAAAAAGTAGTATATAAAACTTTTCTTTTTCGGCCCTGCCCAAGCATGTTCCCTTTTTGGAAAATAATAACTTCTTCCTTGGATTAGGTTAATTCAACTTCGTTACTTTCAAAAGGAAGTTATATACATATGTAACATTAATAGTTTTGTAACATATTGCACCAGCATTAAATGTTTTATTTTACATTTTCGTAACAATTTTATTTTATCACATATTTTCGGCATAAGAAATGAAAAAAGACACCAAAAAATTAAACTTTAATTTTCACTTTGCGAGTATCTGAATGGTTATGACAAAGGCTTTTAAGACATTACTTTTGCCTTAACGATGACATTGAGAATCTTCTTAACAAAATTCATTACTTTTGAAACAAAAACACTTAACCGAAGAGGCTAAGTTCTCCATCAAAGAAGTTTCTCTCCAGTGATAGCATTCCATTATACAACTAATGGTATCAGCTATGGACTCACCTAAGTGCAAAAGTTTGGTAACGTGTGTACTTGGTTATTAGAGATGTGACTCACTTAAACTAAATTAAAAATAGGTAAATTATTTATTAATGGGATTCAGAAATTTCATAATTCAATTTAATTTATTACGAGATCATAATTCAATTTAATTTTTTACGAGGGCTTAAAATTATTCATTAATTTATATTTATTTTTTAATTTTTTTTAACAAGTAAGACTGAATTACTAAAAGATAATTACAGGTTGACACACTAAAAACTATATTAAAACGTGACAAATGTTATGTTGTAAGTAAAATACGGTGACATGATGACGCGACGAATATAATAGTATAACGAATGCGATGATATAACATAAGTTGTGATACAATTAAAATGCGAAACTAAAACATTATAGTGTTAACATGATAAAAATTATGACACGACAAATATCATAGCACAATTGAAATGTATTGGTACATCAAATGTAATATATACAGTAACATAATTGTGCAATAGAAAGATGATATGCGGCACAAGTGCAACAATGAATATGATGTATGACAAACTATTGATGATAAATTTAAATAATAGTTTAACTTATAATCACAATATGAAATAAAAATAAAGAAAAAAATAATAATAATATCAATTAAAATTACTAAATTATTATAATAATTTTTAATTAAGTGTGAATCTATTATAATTTAACTTAAATTCATTAATTAAGTGAGCATAATTTATTTTTAATCTATTATCCATAAAAAAAAAAAAAACTGAAATCCATAATAACAAATTGATTTACGATTACAACAATTACAGCCCATATTTACACGTATAATGTCTTGTACAATTCAACAATATGGCACCATTGGAGCAAGATTTACAATGTGATTAAAAGGACGAAGAATAAAGTGAGAAGTTGGTATTTTATGGAGTCTTTTGGCTCGTGAAAAGCTTTTAGGAGGGGAGATAGAATGTAGTGTATGTAGCTTCATTTGTGGCAAACCTTCTTCTGACTAGGTTAATTAGAAACCTTACCGTGGTGGTATGAGCATTAGAAAGGTTAATAACACAAGACTTTATTGGACAAACATGCTTCGTCCCTTCTCTCTGAACCATGGAACCTTCCCTTCATCCAAATGTTTGCCAACCAGAGACTTTTTCTTGAGGAATGGATATAAATTATTTTTTTAATTAATTTATATACAATTCAAATCCAATAAATATAAATTGCATTTAACATTAACACATTTAATTATACATAATTAGATTAATTTTTAAAATTATTTATCTAACATAAATTTAAAATTACTTCACATTTAATCTCATTCGTTCTCTCGTTTAGTCCAAATCTAATAAAAGAAATTTATAAAAATAGAAAGAAATTAAATATTATTAGTTTATAAATTCAATGTTTATCAATAATTTTATTTTTATATACAATATTATAATACTGAAAATGAAAAATTTTCTTTAAATTCATTGAATTTGAAAATCATCAAGCTTAACATCATTTTCTTTTACCATTAGTTTTAAATTTAAAATAAAAAATGTTTGACTTTTATGTTAAGATTTTTAATGATTAATTGATTCTTTTTTTGTTTTTATTTTTCTAATTTAATGTATATTTGGATTTAAAAATAAAAAACAAATTGTAAATTTTCCTTCATTTTTTAATCAGATTAGTTTTTATTTTAAAAATTGTTTGACTTTTGTATAACATGGTTCTTCAATTATTAAATAATTTAAAAATTGTTATTTAATTATTTTATATTTATTTGATTTTATATAAATTTTAATTTTAATTTTAAATTTTCTTCCAAATTTTCTTTTAAATATTAAGATATTAATTTCCATTTTCAGAGCAACCTCTAAAAATGGTTTTCATCTGAATAGCAATCATCGTCATCACATCAGTAACCCATAACGTTGAAGTTCAGATTACCGGCGAGCCATGTTTTTGCTCCGAGTCCACTCAGTGGACGCCGACCACCCTCTGGATCCCCTAACCATCTTCCAATCCCAATCACATTCCCAATCCAGCAACCCTAAATTCAGCGAACGCAGAGGCGTCCTTCACTTGTTCCGAACCTCTCCCCACTCCTCCCTACCAATCCAAACCTCCCCATCCTCTCTCCTCTTCATCCTCGCCGTCCCCAACTACCTGTCCTTCCACGATTTCATCCCTTTCTGCGGGCCCCACCTCGACAACCTCCACCACCTTCTCTTCATCAGGTTCCCTTCATTTCCACTCTCTCACTTCTCCGTTTCATGCAAACCCCAACTAACCCTTTCTTTTCACGTCCCCTGCAGGAACGACGGGACCGAAGATCGTTATAGCGTATTGATCAAGTTTGCCGATCAGTTTGCCGCCGACGAATTTTACAGCAATTTCAATGGCAAGAAATTTTCTCCCGCTGAGGTGAATTAATCCTGAATTTCTTTTCCCTTTCTAATTTTGTTTTTCTGTTTCTCAACATTTCAAATGATATTCAAAATTTAGGCAGAGGTGTGCCATATTTTGTTTTTGCAATCTGTGGAGTATTCGGAGTTTGCAGAAGTTGCTGGGACTCCTCCTCCTAGTTGTACGGAAATACCAACTTGTCCAGTTTGTCTTGGTGAGTTAAGAGACTTTTTTTTTTTTTTTTTTTTTCTGTTTGTCCCTGGCAATGATGTGAGGAATTGGTCCTTCGTTTATATATCTTTCTTTTACTGAATGCTAGAGAGGTTGGACCCTGATACTAGTGGGATAATCACAACACTTTGTGACCACTCATTTCAATGCCCTTGTGTCTCCAAGTGGACGTACTTGTCTTGCCAGGTATATACGTTCTTCATTCCTTTAAATCACTTTTTACGTTCTATTGAACTTCTGGTTTTGCTTGGTTTAGGTGATTCTAAATTCTTAACGTATTGGCTTACCTAAATTCTTCTTGGAGCGTCGTGAGACTTGATTAGAGACTTTGTCATTCGTGTTGCTACAATTGTTTTCGGGTTCTATAGGCTAATTACTGTGTTTTGTAGAGAGTGACGAAATAAATTAAGTGGTAATAAATAGGTAAGAAAAGAATAAAAGCTCCTTTTTCTGCAAGGTAATATCTAGAGGTGTCAAATGGGTTGGGTGACTAAGCTAAAAATAGGCGAGATCAACTGACTCACTTTTCGGTGAACCATAAAGTATCTCGTAATTTTGCTTAGACATCTCATCAGTTATCATCATGATAAATCATGATTTCACAATATGTCCCAAATGAATGGTGTCAAGGGGGTGGAAATTTGTTATAGCAAAAATGTTTTGATATTGTGAGATATGTTTAAATATTAGTTGATATTATTTGATATTGTTGAGATATTGTTAATCACAATATCAAACAATATCTTCTATTTACTCTATTTGTATTTTGTTACTCTTTTTAGTTGTATCTCTATTTATTATAAATACATTGCCCTATATGTAGTTAAGACACAAGGGAGATTAATCTCAAACGTTATTTTCTTTATATTCAACATGGTATCTAGAGCTCAAGGTTATTTTGAAATATTTTTAGAGCCCAATCCAAAGGATTCTCAAACGGAAGTGTGGCCCAAGGGGGGTCGAGAGCTGCTGGTTCACATATGCAACATGCTAACAGCGATTGATTCTCTACATCTAAACGGAATAGAGGTACTAAGCATCTTCCTTATTCTGAGTTAATGAACAGTAAGGCACAGGGGCTCTGCTTTAGGTGTGGTGATAAATACCGTCTATTACACCAATGTGCAGAACGACAATTGAGGTTGCTAATGTTGGGGGATGATGAAATAGTGAATGAGGAAGTAAAGATTATCGCTAGGGAGGAGAGGGAGCAAAAGGAAGAGTCCATGTTGGACTGCGGAGCTATAAGAATGTTTGGGGAGGTTGAGATATATGAAGGATTATTCCTTCAACCTTACGTTTGGAATGCACAATTAGTGGAGTTTCTGTGGTGGTGTTGGTTGACAGTGGGGCGAGCGATAACTTTATATCTCCTTAACTAATGGTAGCATTGGGATTGGAAGTGGAGAACGAAAAGCCTATCAGAGTGCAGTTGGGTGATGGCCATAAGATGCCCACTTTGGGTAAATGCAAGCCTGTGAAAATCCAACTTGGAAGTTTTCATACTATTGTAATACTGCATGTGTTGGAGTTAGGGGGGTTGGATATGATATTGGGAGTAGCATGGTTACAAGAATTTGGTAAGGTGACTTTTGATTGGAAAAATAGGGTTATCAGTTTTAATTGGAAGGGATACCCAATGGAATTACAGGGGCAAAAAATAGAAAGGAGATGTCAAACAGAACTGGTGGCTTCTTTTCAAAGTTTAATGATTGAAAAGGCGCAAAAAAATTATCTATTGACAAAGGCTTGTCAACTACACAATTGAATGAGGTGCAGCAAGTGTTGTCTACTTTTGGAGAGTTTTCAAGGAACCGTAAGGACTATCTCTAGCTAGAAAGATTTCTCATGGTATTGAGCTGTATAAGGAAGCCGGACCTGTGAGTGTGCGACCTTAGACGTATTCATATCATCACAAAGAAGAGATAGAAAAGCAGGTGAGTGAATTGTTACAGCAAGGAACTATTAGGCATAGCACAAGTGCTTTCTCAAGCCCAGTCATTTTGGTTAAGAAGAAGGATGCTTCATGGAGGATGTGTGTGGATTATAGAGAATTGAACAAGGTTACAATGCCTGATAAATACCCAATTCCTGTGGTAGAATAGCTATTGGATAAGTTGCATGGGGCCTGCTTATTTTTCAAAATTAGACTTGAAGTCAGGGTATCACCAAATTAGAATGAAGGAGGAAGATGTGCACAAGACAATTTTTCGCACTCATGAGGACCATTACGAGTACTTGGTAATACCCTTTGGGTTAACTAATGCACCAACCACTTTTCAATCAATAATGAATCAAGTATTCAAGACCTATTCACAGAAGTTTGTCTTAGTCTTCTTTAACCATATTCTAGTGTACAACCGGAGGTGGTAGGACCACTTAGAGTATTTATCTCTAGTGTTGCAACTGATACAGCAACAAACTTTTGTGGTGAATAAAAAGAAGTATGTGTTTGGAATTTGACAGGGGGAATATTTAGGCCATGTAATATTAGAACAGGGAGTGGCAGTTGACCCTGAAAAAATCCGAAGTATAGTAGAATGGCCAATTCCTCACAATGTGAACGGAGTTATGGGTTTTCTTGGGTTGACGGGATATTATCGAAAATTTATTGCGGGGTATGGAAGGATTGCCAAGCCTTTGATAGAATTAACTAAGAAGAATGGGTTTAACTGGGACTCGATAGCATTAGCAGCATTTGAGAAATTAAAGAAAGTCATAACTCAAACTCCTGTTTTAGTCCTCCCGGACTTTACTCAACCATTCGAAATTGAATCTAACGCTTCAGGAGCAAGAATTGGTGCGGTGTTGATGCAAAACTGCAGACCCATTGCTTACTTTAGTAAGGCATTATCACTAAATAACTTGAGTAAATCAACTTATGAAAAAGAATTAATGGCTTTAGTGCTAGCTGTAGAGCATTGGAGGCCATATCTTCTTGGCAGAAGCTTCAAAGTTTATTCCAATCAATGAAGTTTTGGGTATTTGCCGCAATAGAGAATAACGACAACAGAACAACAAAATTGGATAGCTAAATTGTTAGGATATCAATTTGAAGGGGTTTATAAACTGGACCCTAATAATAAAGATGTTGATGCATTGTCACAGGTGTTTGAAGATGATGAATTAAGAAATTTGATTTCTTTTCCAATATGGTTGTAGGGACAGCAGGTACAGGTGGAGTAACAATGAGTTCCTTTCCTTAAAAGGGTGGTGGAAAACATTTAACAAGATGTTAATCCTAAACATGGGTTCAGCTGGCAGCAGGGCATTTTGTTGCATAAGGGACGATTAGTTTTGTCAGTAGCGTCTTCTTTGATTCCACACATTTTAGAAGAATTCCATGCATCTCTTGTAGGGGGACATTTGGGTATTTTGCGGACATATAAGGGGGTTGCTGGAAATCTATATTGGGTTGGCATGAAGAAAAGGGTGCAAGAATTTGTTAAGCAATGTGGTATATGTCAAAGGCAAAAGTATGCAGCAATATCTCCGGTTGGACTCTTACAACCATTACCCATACCTGACTACGTTTGGGAGAATATTTCCCTTGACTTTATAACGGGGTTGCCCAAATCAAAGGGATTTGATGCTGTGTTTGTGGTAGTAGACCGGTTGTCAAAGTATGGGCACTTTATACCTCTCAAACATCCATATACGACAAGAAAGATAGCAGAAATATTTGCTAAGGAAATTGTGAGGCTCCGGGTACCCTATTCAATTGTGGTGACTGAGACTCCTTGTTTATGAGCTTATTTTGGCAAGAGTTGTTTCGTTTACAGAGTATTGTATTAAATATGAGCTCATCTTATCATCTCGAGATGGACGGTCAAACGGAAGTGGTGAATAGGTGTTTAAAGACTTACTTGAGGTGGTTTGTATTGGAGCAACCTAAACATTGGGTGGATTGGATACCATGGCCTGAATTATGGTACAATATCACTTTCCATGTGACTATGTGAAAAACACTATTTGAATTGGTATATGGGGGAGCACCTCCTTCATTTACCCAAGGAGAAACGAATGTGGAGGCTGTGGCAGCGTGGAGTTTGAGGTAGAGAATGGGTATTTGTAAAATTGCGACCACATAGGCAGCAGACGGTGGCACGTCGCATTAATCGGAAGTTGGCAGCTCGTTATTATGGACCATTTCTTGTGATGGACAAGGTGGGAGTTGTTTCGTACAAGTTTGTACCCGAGACAACTAGAGTGCGCCCAATATTTCATGTATCACAGCTAAAACGGGCAGTGGGAGATTATTCTGCAGCTCCTGAATTGCCTGCAAAATTGGAATTGGAGCAAGAAGATTTTGAGGAACCGGAGACGGTTTTAGCAACACGAGAAATTATGAAAAAAGGGCAGCTAATTAAGCAGTGGCTGGTGCGTTGGAAGGCAGAACTGCAGAAGAAACCACTTGGACAGATACATTATTGCTCCAGAGTCAATTTCCTCATCTTGGCCTTGTCCAAGGCGATTTTTGGAGGGGGAGATGATAGAACACTTGAGGATGGGCTGATACAGCAGGAAAAAGGTAGCAGAGAAGACTGTGTTGATGGAGGGCCCACAATATGGAACGTTTATTCTAGAAGAAAGAAAGCAGGCCCACAGAATATTAATTAGTTAGGAGGGTAATGACATGGAAAAGAATTTGAAATTAGTGGGAATTCAAGTAGTTGAGAGAGGAGGAAAGAGAGAGGGGGTACAGAGAGTTTGTTATGGAATGGGGTAAGGAGAGTTGTCTCTCTCTGGAAGAGTCATAGACTCTGGAAAGATATTATATTATGTTGCACCTGGGTTGCTCATTTCATATATTCAATAATACAGTTTCCTTAGACTATCATATTCTGCTCTATTTTAATATGATATTTTTTTTATCATATTTATCTATCAGTACATATGCATGTATTTATTATGATGTTAGCCATATTTTTATCAACAATCATAACTTCTCACTTTTCTCTCTCAAGTGCACTTTAAAATCTCACATTATTAATGCCGAATCCTTATGACTGACTTGTTTACTTTGAGAAAATAATTTCTATTTTATTTCTTGTTTTTGCTTTTAATTTTAATGCCACCTTGTTTTCGAATTGTTTCATGTTGTATTGCTGTAATCCTTTCATGTTGCATTGCTGTAATTTCCTGCACCATAATCCGTATGAAAGCATTGCTTTTATTTGGAGTGCACTTGGAAGAATTACATTATCGAATGAGAATTCTTTTGTAAAGAGCCTTTTCTGTTTATATTGTGTAGGTTTGTCAATTCTGTCAGCAACAGGATGAGAAACCAACCTGTTTTATTTGTGGAACTGTAGATGATCTCTGGGTTTGTATGATTTGTGGATTTGTTGGATGTGGAAGGTAAACATATTATCCTTTTTTCTATTTTCACTGAGAATTGTGAGTGAAAGCCCCTTATTAATAATATTCAACAAATCACAATTTATGGTCCTTGATATGTCAAGCTTTTGTTTTGTCGGGGACAGACTTTAACACACTGATTTTTTTTTTATCTAGATATAAAGAAGGACATGCTATTCAGCATTGGAAATATACTCAGCATTGCTATTCTCTTGATTTTAAAACACAGCAAATTTGGGATTATGTGGGTGACAGTTATGTACATCGGTTGAACCATAACCAGTCTAAAATTGATGGCAAGTTGGAGGAGATGAATTTTCGCTGTTTGTCACTGGAAGGAGATTGTGATATGTGTGAATGCCGTGAAGATTTAGGAATGAATGGGGCCCTTTTTAACAGCAAAGTTGAAACGGTATGTTTCTCGTAAGTCATATACGAAACTCTTGAATTTCGTTTTCGTCTTCTATTCATTAGTATAATTAAATCCTTCTACACTTGCTCTCTACCAATGCTCCTACGTACTAGAAGAAAAAAAGTATCAAATACTTTTTATTTTTCCAAGTCATCAAGCGTGTTCAGTTTTGCATTTAATACTTTATAAAATTATGGAGAGGATTGGTAGGAGGATATACCATCATCTTTATTTATGCTAAAACTTGCTTTGACAGATTAGCCTGAAACAACAAACCTTGGCATCTCTAGTATGATTTTATATTAACACTGGACACATTGCACATAGCCCTTGGTGCAAATACTGTCTTACAGGCATGGGTCCAAATAGTTAATTCAAATAGAATATGGGGATGAAATTTTAAACAGCAGTCTTGTATGGAAGTTACAAAATCATTTATTGAGCCCGTCTCAACCGCCTGGTTGATGTTTATTATGTGGGTACATGATGTATCTTGTCTCCTTGTGATTAGTATCTTAGTCTAAATTTTTCACTTTTCATTGTCCTGCATGGTGACTAATTGATTGTTAAATATGAGAACAGATTGTGGATGAATACAACCGTCTTCTTACATCTCAGTTGGAAACACAAAGACAAGTGAGTTAACCCTTTTGTCCTTAGAATTCTTTCTTTGAGAGATATGAATAATTCTGTAAAAGAGTCTTTGAATTGGATGTACAGACTGTAGATCCATTCAACTTTGCCTGAAAATTACATGTTCTTGGAGTGTAATTGGAGACTGATGAAATTACTATTCGTGTGGGTTGAGATTAGGAACATTGAGGCTGGTTGCTTTCTCTTATGATGAAAGGCTTAGGCACTATTGCTATGATACTCTCTTTATGTTGTTGGTCTTTTTATGCAATAATACTGGTGATAGTGTTTTCGAAATCTGGTTATGTTAATACTTTTTTGTTTCAGTATTATGAATCTTTACTAGTAGAGGCAAGAAGTAAAATGGAAAATTCCATGTCTGAAGCAGTGGAGAAAGCTGCAGCTTCTGAACTGCAGGATATCCAAAATGAACTGGAAAAGTGGACAGAAGAAAGAAATGCCATTGCTGAGGTAACTTCTCTTTTCTCTCTTGCATCTGGTTTATAATTACTTGAATTCTCTGCTGTTCAGCCATTCTTTTCTGACCTTAGGTCAATCAGAAACTCATAAAAAATCAAGAGATATGGCGAAAGAAAGTTAAAGAAGCTGAAGAGAGGTATATCTGCTTTTATATTTTTCATCTTTGTTTAAATTTGGTTAACTAGCAGTAAACAAGAAATTATCACTTCAGACCAACACTTAATTTTGGATACATGTCTAAATATATGATCATGTAGGGAAGCTACATCAACTAAAGCGATGAATGAGAGGGTAATTGATTTGGAGGAACAGGTACTGCAATTAGCTTCAATGATTCTTTGCGCGTAAATTCTCCGAATATATTGTTCTGTGACTCGTAATATGATTTACAGATTAGAGATATCAAGATCTTTCTAGAAGCGCAAAAAACAATTGATAAAATGTCAGATTCAAATGGAATCAAGGATGGCACAGTCCTTCCTGTGGCTTATGAGCAATCTTCTCCTAGCCACAGTAAAAGAAACAGAAAGTCTGGTCGAAGGCGGAATTAGTTGCAACCTAAACCAGAAGACTTATTCAAACATATGGATTGTCGACCTTGTTTTTAGGATAGAAGGGCACTAATACTTGTTGTGGGCCCATACACTTGATGGTACATAAAGGCAGAACCAAGTCATGGCCTTGAATGGTTGTCTGCATGTTTTAGATGCTGTATAGTCGTTGCTTGAAAACAGTTAGTTCAACCATACCTCTGTGATGCCGTTCGCTGACCTGGCTGCAATGTCAAAATCATACCTTTTCAACATGTTTTCCGTAAATTTTTTCTTACTGTTTATAAAGATTCACTAAATGATATGATTTTTACTCCATATTTAATCAATCGAATATTATTTTACAAGTCTTCATAAATTTTATCCCGTAACATAATGTGTATTACTGATATTTCTCGCGCAACGTAATTGCTTTCCGTTAGTAGAGATGCGCCAGTGATAATGCTGGTATAGACAACGAGGGATGGTGGGAAGTATTTGAGATTTTTGCTTTAAGGTCTCTACTAATGTTATCTACAATTAGCAGCATATCCATCAATACCCAGGCCAATGAGTGTCAGTATCGTCTTCCTTTAGTCCACACTCCACAACGAGAACAATGTACGTTTTATGCTTGCTGAAGACAAGTTTGGTTTTTTCTTCTGCGTTTCTTTATGAACATTCTGTCTTTACTTATGCTACATATAGAAATAAATTATTCATCTTCCATTAGGTTATGACTGGGATTTCTCCTTCTAATAATGGAGTCAAATTTTTCTTTTTTTGTTCTTTTTTTTAACTATGGCACTTTAGGTGTTTGTTTGTAAATTAGGACATATGTACTTGGTACCTTTTTCTAAATTAGATTGTATATTTAGTGATATCTATCAAGAGCATAATGGGAGAACTTGGTAATAATTTTACAACTGATGCTTGGCGAATTTTATCTAATTCAATAAACAATTATTATATATCTCATTGAAATTAAAAGGAATAAAGATAAACAAACAAAACAACGGGAAAAAATAGAAAAAAATATGGAAACAGGAGAAAAAAGAAAATGCGCGAAAAGAAAAACTCGAATGAAATGTGTTCCTTAATATTTCTTTTTTCTATGTAATTTCATCACTGTAGTAATGTGAATTCTGATAACCGTCATTGCGAAATCTGAATGAACCAAAAACAAATCCATTAATGAACCAAAAGAATCCTTGCATAGAAGGTAAAAGTAAAAGTGAATATCAGAACAGGTAACTTTAGCTGGAAAAAGAAAACTATAACGACTAGTTCACTATATATATTATATATATTTTAAAAAAAAATACTACACAAAGAAAGGTAGGACCAACGAAAAAATAATAATAAGAACGACCCTCAACTCTGCAACACCCCAGCGGAATTTACGCGATTATCCTATGTGTCTGCCAATGCCAATCCCAGGGAGCATAAATTGGTTAGGAAAGGTGATTGGTTCAATTGATTTGTCCTAACCTACAAAACAAACACCTAGGTTCCGCAGCTTCCCTTTGCAAACCCGAATGGCGGCACCAGGGAGCGGGATCATATGCAACCAAACACACACTTCAAAGGTCCTTAGAGAAGAAAGTACTACATCATCATCATCATCTTAATGTGCCATCCATTATCTTTGGGGTTGCTCTGAAACAGCGGCACCTGAAGTACTGCTAGGCCCAGCACCGTTCTCGTTTGGAGGTGGAGTACCCCATTTTCCTTCTGACTCTAATGGTTCAAGTACATGTACTCCCCCATCTGTAAGTCCTAATGCAAATTGATTGGGTTCAGAGGGATGTGCAGCAATCACAACAGGATACACTCTCAAGCTGTCAAAGAGAATTTTATCAGGTATGAGAAAATCAAATATTAATAACAGATCGTTCATTGCAACTGATAATAACACGCACCTTGGGTTGGGATGGAGATAAGCAGTTTGATTTATTCTACATCTTAATCTGAGCGCCGGGACAGTAAGAATGCCAACACTTCCATCCTCAAAGCTTACATATATTGATTGACTATCACACGAATATGTAGCATGTGTGATTGGATTATTTTCCCGCGGCGAAAACTAATCATACAAAAAAATGAAGCACAATGTTAAGCTTGCAGACATCACATTTAAATGAAGAAAGCCAAATAGAGCCAGCAATTAAATAGATACATATTATATATATTATAAATAGCACACCTGCTTTATACATTCCAATTTTGGTGCCTCGTACAAGGCTATTTGAGTTTCATGAACAGCCAGTAAATGTTTCTGGTCCTGATGAAATTGGACCCGAGTATCTGCAAGAGGTGCTGGAGGTCGTCCACTGGGCATCTGTAGGAATTTACTTGCTTGTTTTTCCCATCCATCTGTGTTCCAAACACACAACTGTTGACATAAAAAAACACAGGTGAATATCCTAATCGTTTGTATTCAATAACTTCATTATTTTCAACATTTTTCTTCCAAAAGCAGACATTTTATAAATCTTTTTCACTCAGGCATACCTTGCAATTCCTATCAATAAATTGCAAATGAAATTACTGCAGTGGAACAGAGAAGACATATATGCATGCACAGGAAAACACAATCTATTTTATTTAGCATCAAATATTTCTGGCTGCCACAGCAACAAAAGGCCCTTTCTTCCACGAGTGCTGCTTCAGATTTTAACAACTAATGACAAAACAGCTAAAAGTAAAATTCCTTACCTGAGAATCAGCCCCGGATGACACAAGCACATTTAGGACGTGAGAAAAAGCAAGACCAGTGATTCTCTTCTGGTGACCTTTTAGCTTAGTTTTGACCTAGATGGAAACAAATAAAACAAGAAAAAAGGTAAAGCAAACAAAAGTTTGGTTTTGATCTCAATCATTAATCCATGAAATTTAATCGACAGCTCAAATCTAGATAATGAATATAGTACCTCATCCACTCGAACATTATAAATTTGTATGGAAGAGTCATCCATGCCAATAGCAATAATATTGTTGTCTTGAGGATGAAATGCAAGAAATGTAGCAGCTGGTGGAGGCGGCATGAAAGTTGTCATTGTCTGCAGTTGATATTCATAGAAAATAATGTAACCACGTTATACAATTGCAAAAAAAAAAAAGGAAAAAAAGAAATCGAAGTCAGGAAATGCTAAAATAAACCATCAAAAGGATGCTTAGCCATATAATTGGTATAGATTATAGACTGTCCATTTGGCAATAGCTTAAAGGTCAAAGAGGATAGGGACTACTAAAAAAATAAACACCATTATGCTCCATCTCAAACACTCACCCACTCACACAACCATAGAAGCAAGGAGTAAGAAGACATGTTAGGCTCCAAACTACTTTAACCCAACTGAAGTAGTCATGTGGTTGGTCTCGCATTGCCTTGGTTGCAACTTGATAACTAAATTCAGTCTCTTTTTATTCTCATCCCAATCTTAGGCAGTCATGAGCCTCAATTGTAAGCACTTTCAATGAGGTGGAAGCATGTATAATGATAAATCTAAGAGCAGGCTATAGTAATAGTAACTACCAGTAAATGCATAGAATACCTATTTAAGCTCACTATGTTTATTATCTCATCTACTGAAGGATCAAAAACAAATAACCATCACATTTTTTTCTAAATAAGAAATTACCAACAAGACCTACATAATAAGTTCCTTAATTATTACTCCCTTTGTTCCTATGTATAAGATCCAAATGAAAAGTGGTGCTTGTTCTTTTTTTACGATACCCAATCCTTAATGTCCCTATTCATTAACTATTTTCAGACCAAAATATCCCTAATTAAAATCAATGAGAGGTTTACTGCAAACATTTAGGAAAGAGAAGAATATTAATGATATGGATAATTTTGGAAAACAAAATTAGGACATATTTATTGATATCAACTAAATTAATCACTTTCTTTGATTTTAATAATTAAGTAATCGAATCTTCTAAATAAGAATGGAGGAAGTAGAATATAAGAACGTAAAAATGAAAGCCACATACCTTAAAGGTCATCATATTGAATAGGGAAATTTTTCCCCCTGAAGCAGACAGAACATATGAATCATTCTTTGACAGTGCAAAACATGACACAGCATCCTCTGGGTTAGTATCACTTATATCATTCGTCATTAACATTCCACTAGATGGTTGCCATAGTTGTGGTTGAATACTTGCAGTGGCCTAAATAAGAAATACTTGTTTTAACAATCTTATGAACATTAACACGTTGAAATGTAATCACAACCAAGTATAATATATGCTCGTTACCTTCCCGGAAGGGTTCCGCTCATTTCTCTGCCATTTCCAAAGCTTGTGAACAGCATTTGTTGCCAAAGCCAAAATTGCAACTCCCTGATTAGTATAAATTAACCTAGAAACCTGAAACAATATTTTAAAATATTAAATTTACAACCAGTTGAAAGACTATTGTAAACTTGTAATTAGAAGTATGCATCCTAAAAGAAAAAGTAAAACGAGAGGGGAATATCCATTAAAACTTTGAACATAGCATGCAAACAGAAAAGCTGTATAGGCAAACTATTGCGTGCAATACACTCTACAATAGGGAAGCTGTATGGGCAAAATACAGTACAAGCAAACATAACGACTAATTATTGAAGAATATATTTATTTTACTTATCCGTTTGTGATTCAATAGGGAAGTAGAGGATGAATTCATTGGTGAGAATAGAATACAAGTTTATGCATTGGCTCAAATGCCCCAATACTATTCTAGTATCTAACCATACCCTCATTGATGATAAACTATCAGGAAGTTTCAGGGAGCGGCATTGTGATGGTTCATTAATTTCTGTCAGCTTCCATATCCTAGATTTATCCACAGCTTCATCAACAATTCTTGGTTTCACATCAGCTAAACTTCGAGTGTCATTATTCTACAAAGCAAAACAGGATAGCACAATTAAAAACAATTAGAGAACTATAATCCTCATTCATTACAAGATTTATGTGTGGAAAAAACTCACAATCCCAACCATTGCTGCTACTGGAGGAGCTCT